TCTCTCCTGAGCTTCACGTAATTTCATTTAATTTCTTCTGCATATATTTCTCTAATGTTTATGGTGATTTTATTTATTTATATCTTTTTTATTTCTCCTTTTGCTGAAAAGAATTATTTACAAGGAAATTAATCTTACTAAAGATGTCTCATATAATTTAATATATGCTATTGCTTTTTTCCCTTAAAAAGAAGATATATTTTATTTGTCGCATAAAACGATACAGTTGATGAACTGACAGGCGTTTAAAATTATCTAAAAAGAAATTTACAGTGTAATTTATATTTTTCTAATTAATGAGTTTATGTATAATTTTCTTGGTATTCCATTTCAAGAGTTAGCTTTCTTAATTTTGTTGCTTTGTATAATATTAAATTTCTTTTCAGGTCTTTGAAATTCTAATATCAAAAAATTATTCGCTATAGAGTTTTGAAAGTTTCAAAGGATATAAAACAAAATTTTCACATTATTTTAAAACAAGAAGAATTAAAAATACTAAATTTTGTATTAGCCAAATTTTGTAAAATATTCAGCCTTAATTTAAGGCTAAAAATTTTTCTTAGATTTTTTAGCCTTTTTTACCCCTAAACTGCTTTATCCTATGGTCTGGCATGCATAATTTAACGGATTGATTGAATGCCATATCGAAAACTGATCGTAACGGTGATGGTTTCTTAAAAATTTCGTGACGTTTCTAGTAGCATTTTTTATTCAAATTTTCAAAGTTAGATTGAATTTTCAGATATTTATCAGCTTATGTGCATTTCCTACCCACGTGCGAAACTTCGAGTCGATCCATTGATTTGGGCTCCTACGAATGAGTAACAAATATCCAGACAAATTCTCGCTGATATGCGTTGTTAAGATGATTTGAACTTCACTTAATTTCTTTACAGACACTATTTTATAATCGTTGATTTTAGACTACATTTATTACAGTAAAGCGTCATTTATAAGTTTCTCATTTTGCTCTCTTTTAACGCTAGTTATCTTTTATATTTGTACGTCATATCATCTTTATCCGGATTCAAAATTAATGTACTATTATTTATTATAATAAATATTATAATAATTTTGAATGATATTCATCAATATTTCTTTTATCAGGAAAAGCACTTCTCCGAAAATCACTTCTGTCATTCGACCGTATTTAGAAATTGCAGATTGGGGTATGTGAAGTGGAGAACAGAAAACATAGGATATATCAAACTGGACTAATGTTAAAAGCCTGATGATGGTTGGAAGAAGGGTCGCTTAGAGGGATAGAATAAAGTCGGATGACGAGAGAGGTTTGCTGATGATAATGCGTCATCCATGTCAGTTGGTAAGCAAGGTTTAATTGGATTGTTGTTTCCTCTATCAAAGCTTAGTTCTTTAAGGTTCAGAATCAACCACCATTCCAAATTTTCTTAAAGAATGTTTTAAGTAAAAATTAAAAACTCTACACGTGCAAAAGTCTTTTTATATAAAAATGTCATTTCTTCAAACTAAATAATTAATATAAAGATATGGTCTTCATCATTTTTGTATTAAATATTGTATAATTATTTTTACTTCAAAAAGAAATGTTCAGTTTTTTAAATATAAAAATATTTTAACTCTTTAATGTGAGTAAAAATATAAATGCTAGGAGATATTTTTTGTAGAAAATATGTAAAAACAAGCCAATAGAGTTCGTTTATTCCAATTTCAGCAGTACCACGTGCATGTTGGAAAAAAATAATGGAATGTATTTTCCGAATGTGAAATTCTATATTTTCTTGCCTCTTTGTGAAATTCCCTGTCAAATCCAAAAAGCTACTCTATACTATATATTTTCAAGAGCGCTGTCATTGCATCCATTGTTTCTGAATCTGAAAGTTTATCCATGAGTCAGTGAAAACTGAAGATGGACGAATATTACAGAAGGAACATGTTTCGCACCCGTAATATAAGATGAAAATGAGTTATTTGTATCTGTTATAGTTTTCAAAAGTGACCTCATCTATTTTGAATGATCTCCGCAGAGACGGGAATAAGAGAAGAAGCATTATTATTTTTTGAATTTTCGTCATTAACTGCTGATTCAATAATTGAATCGGTCTTAGTCTCATCTGTAACACATTCCAAAAGTTCTTGACTGCAGCAAAAGATAAGTTAGTTTCATCCCTACTGTCATCAATGTGTAAGTGTCGCATTATATCTGAAGCAGAGTATTTGAATTCATTTATATCACATCGATGACTGCAGGACATTTGTGCAAACGAGTCTTGCTGAGAAAATCATATTATATAATATTTGTTACGCACGTTACCTAACTTTTTATCATTTGTTTAACAACGCTGAGCGTTATATATCTGAAGGTAAAAGATCATAAGTAAATTGTACACGGTAGGAAAAAACAGGGTGTGACGTGGGTGTTAGTTAAAATTTACCTTATATTTAACTCACACCCACGAGAAACAATTCGTAAGAATAGCTTATTCGTAACAAAATGGCGGACACAAACACATAGACAGTATAAATGCAGCATATCCGATATCTGGTAAATTTACTGCATACAATGTCGCATCATTTGAATGCAAATAAGCTACAGGCATACATATTGATATAAGAGCCATATTTGTTGCATACTCTTCAAAGGGTTTACGACAGCAGTGCAAGCATTATTGCCATGTGATCTTGGGTCGCTGGAGAACGCTATTTTGGATTTACTAATAGTGATGTTTTCCAATATACCTCACCTCCAATATACCTACTTTTTCCAATATACCTTTCCAATATACCTCAACACTAGTACAGCGGCAATGAATACCTCAAAGATCGATATTCATTGCTGCTGTACTAGTGTTGAGGTCTAAACTATGATCCTTTCCGGCCGTGTCATACACTCAAATAGTCAACCTAAATGTGCATTTCGGACTCAGGTATCGAGGAAATCGTGTCACTTCTGCAGCGAATTAAATCATCTCAGGTTAAACAAATTAAAAACATTATGATAAAATTAAATTTATACAACCGCTATTACTATTAGCCTTAACCCTTTGCGGCACAGTGTGTCCGGTCTGGACACACCTAAAAATTCCCTTCTGTATACACAGAAAAATTGAATGAAAAAGGATTTATAGGTTACTCTGAACCTTCTTTATTTATAGTAGATGGCAGCTCAACACAAACCATATATTTTATATGTCCATATATTTTAGCCATGTTTAGTTTTTTAAAACCCTCATTTTTCAAAGAAATCTTCCAGAAATCTTGCCTAAAATCAAACGGCGAACCCTAGGTGCGCCCAGACCGGGCGCTCACCGATAATCTAGGACAACTGAGAATTTGTATTCTTTGTTTCTCCGCATCTCATCGGCCAGTTCATTGACAACAATGCTCGTTTCAGTACTCTTTTCGAAGCTCTATTCAATCAGTGTGCCCACTTTGGGCACGGTTACAGCCGAAAACATCGCGGAGAAAAACACGCAAGGCAAAAACGTCGTGCTACAAAACATCGTGGGAGAAAACATCGCAGTTCTAAAACATCGTGGTACAAAATCTCGTCGTCGAAAATAAAGCGTTTCGAAAGCTTCGCAGTTTAAAAACGTCGTCGGCGAAAATATCGCGGTAAAAAAAGTAAAGTATCTACAAATCATCGTATGACGATAATATCGCAGGCATGCTTTTTTCAGGCCTTAATAACTGTAAATGGATATTCTCATAATGATTTGTGAGTGCAAGATGGAAAGAAGGATAATTTTTACTTTCATATTTTTATTAACTAATAAATTTTTTCTGAGAAAATAAGAAAGAAACTTAAGCATAGAAAATTAATGCAACTTATAGCACTTAATAGAATTTTAAATCAACATAGTTAACTAACAAAGGCCATTAATAAAGCATTTTTATAAAGTTTTTACTGGTAATTTTTCATAAAAAGTATAATCTATAAGTTGCATTTAATTTTCTATGCTTAAGCTTCCTTCTTAATTTTTCAGCAAAAATTTATTAATTAATAAAATAATGTGACAGTAAAAATTATCCTTCTTTACACCTTGCGCTCACAAATCATTATGCGAATATCCATTTACAATTATTAAAAACCTGAAAAAAAAACATGTCTACGATGTTATCGTCATGCGATGATTTGTAGATACTTTATTTTGTACCACGATATTTTCGACGACGATGTTTCTAAACTGCGAAGTTTTTGAACCGCTTTATTTTCGACGATCATGTGTACCACGATGTTTTAGAACTGCGATGTTTTTTCTTTTTTGCGATGTTTTCTCCCACGATGTTTTGTAGCAATACGTTTTTGCCTTGCGTTGTTTTCTCTGCGACGTTTTTGCCGCGATATTATCGGCGGACACCTTTGGGCACACTCACAGAATTAAAACGAACTTCTTAAAATTTTACTTGTGTACTCCTCTAGGCCTAATTAGACTGCCTACTTTTTTTTTTTTTTTTTTTTTTATCAAAACCCGACTTTAAAAGGTAGCGTGCCGGAAAGGGTTAATATTAAAATTTTGCAATTATGTTATACGTATCACATTCGTAAGCTGAAAATTTGATTTTATGCCTTTATCATTTATACGTCTTTTTTTGAGCAGTCCCTTGAATTTTTTTTTTTTTTTTTTTTAATTTCCAATGGCCGGGCACTAGCCGTTAGTCACTACTAAGACCGGAAGCTGTGGTCGTTTTTTATGAGGCACCTAATCGGTGGGCCACTGCTTCCTTCTATGGAAGGAACACACAGTTGGCATCCATGCCTTCTCCGGGATTCGAGCCGGGCCCTTCGGTACGGCAGTCAGAGTCACTAGCCACTCTTCCATCTGGGAGACCTCTTGAAAAAAGTAGAAACCGTGTTTTATGTATCCTCCAATACATGTCAAAATGTTTTCATAATGTAATGCAGCTATTCCCAAAATATTATAGCACAGTGTTCTCAGTGTGAAGTTATTGTGTGCAAGCTGATATTTCCTACAGCTTCTGACTTTGAATGCACTTGATTAATAATTGTAGAAAATGTATTTAGTAATCTTAATATCATACGTATTAATTTTATTGTAGTTATTAGAAAATGAGAAACATTTGTAAACAACTTTACATGATGGCGATAACAACTTACTGAAATGTATAAAAATTGCTAAACTCTAGAATCATCGCTTTACAGGAATGTGTCGAAGAAACTCGAATGGCAGAAATGTAATTCTGACTCTTGTTGAACATATGATGTGTGATACTTGGCCACACAAGCTCTGTCATCTTAATCTCATTTTACCAGTGAAATGGCTGTTGTACGCACTGAAGATGGGGTCATTTTGTTGCTTCTCATTCTTTATTGACTTTGCTACCTGTAAGCGTCTGGAATAGGATCCATTCCTAAATTAACCACTCCTTCTACTGGACGGGATAAAGGTGGGGCTTGCTGGAATCGATGCTGATATAAACTCCGAGTTTCTGAATTTGCGGGACCCCAGTCTGGATGAGGTCGAAATGCTTTCCTTAAATCCTGGCAAATAAAAGCACAAAAAAAAGTCAAAATCAAAATATATTAATATCATTCTAGCTTGTGTAATTTTCGGAAACATAAAACCGCATTACAAAACTGCCTTACGCGCTGTCATGCCCCTTCAAATGTCTTAATTCCCCAACAGATGGCGCCATCATTTAAATTCTCAGTATCTTCAAAAACTTTAGTGCCTTAGAAATACTTCCGCTTTTTAATAAATTAAAATTTTATATTTCTTATTTCGAAGTGTTAGTGCTTGCCTCACTTCAGGTACATAAGATAAAATGAATACATTCGTAGGACAATAAAATTAATTTTTTGGAATTCATGAATGGAAATTTTCCCCTGTTTTAAAGAACATGATTTCATTACTGTTGATTAATGATTTTCACAGGTTTCATTTAGGGGGAAAATGTATGCCGCTTTTTTAAAGAATGTATTTATTCAATACTCATTCATAAAGCAATGTTGGTAAAAATAAATTAAAATTGCTCTATAAAAGAAATTCTGTTAACATCTACGCATAACGTAGTACAACTGAAATAAAATTTCACAACACTTATTGATGGTATTTATTGAATTATGTGATTATTATTTTCATTACTATATTGTTAGTGATGTATTACTTCATAATAATAAGTGAAAATAGGAAATATAAAGCAATTTAACAGTAAGTAAAGTTACGCACGAATATTTTGTGTCATAGCTCGTTAAAAAGTTTTTAAAAGCTTTTGTTCGGTGTAAAGGAACGCAAACGCTGGAAAGAAAGTTAGTAAAGTGAAATATTTCTAATAAAAAAATTAAACAAATAGAAACAATTTGCTTTCATGAATTAGTAGATTAGTAGCTATATTATTTTTAAAGAAAGGGAAAATAAGGGCTAAAATAAGAAACCGACAGAACAGATTTGAGTGACTTTATTAAAAGTACTTTATTACTTAATTTATGGCTGAATGCTCTGTGACTAAAGTTATTTCAATGCTTTTAAAATTACTGTAAAGATAGCGACACCTTACAAATTAGAGAAAATAGCCTAGAAATTCTATTTTGTTTTTATATTTCAAACTTAAATCAGTAAGAGGCTTCAAATTGCTTTGGTGTTTACAAAGGGTAATTCTAGAACTAGCTGGATAGTGTATTTCTCTATGTATTGAAAAATACCTATTAATAATTGTCAATTAATAATTTTTAATAATAATTTAATAATTGTCAAAATAACTGAGCCGATTTCAAATAAACATTATTCTGTTCTATGTACCACGTTCTATTTATTATCATCAGATAAAAATGAAAATTTTAGAATTTAACCAAGACATTAATATTGAGTTATGATTTTGTATAAAATGGCTTCGGGTAAAAAGGTCTTATTATGCAATTTCTTTGGAAGTATGTGAAAAATGTTGACCTCGTGAATCTTTGAATGTAAGTTTACATAATATCAAAAACAAATATCACTACCACGAAGATAAAAATAAGCGCGTACAGTGCAAATATAGCAAGAATTTAATCATCAGTTTGTTACTGTAAATAAATTATAGAATATATATCAATAATATTTGGATAGACTTCATGCCATTCCCTGCCAACTTGTCAGCCTATGTTTGCAAATTTAAAAAATAAAAACATTTAATGATTTGATATTATGTCGACAATGGTACTGAATATAAGCAAAAAATTCAAACTATCACAAAGGCTGCATCTTTTATTATTACGCGCATTCAGCGCCAAATAGATACAAAGAAATAAAATGGTCTGAAAAAAATACTCTTTTTTATTTATATGATCCTAAAGCAGGAAGTCGTGATGAGCCTATTCACTTACTATATGCAGTGCAAAATTAGATGCCACCCATATAATACCACGCTAATCAACTCACCTATTAAAGAAAAAATTATTTTCCTTTCTCAACAAGTGATTACACTGTAGCTACTATTTTCAGTGAATACTAAACAAGCGTTCGTGATTTCGCATCTGGACTGAAATTTAAACCTTCTCTTTTGTTTATTTTATGTTAGTTCATCTATCTAAGGTGCCGTTATTAGAAAAAAAAATCTAAAATATCGTCTTCATCAGCGAAAAGAGATTAATTTTATGCAATTAACATTTAAAAATTCTTGGTAGTGATTTAAAAAGTCAACCGTTGTTGAAAGAAAAGTAAAAACAAAAAAGGTACGTCATTTAGAAAAAATAGAACAAAAAATGATCACACGACGTATATCACTTGAAAAAAACTGTTGAAAGAGGAAGTTTCATCGGTAGAGAAATTTTCTGAGAAATCACTAATTGGTGAAAGTATGGAATTTCGAAAAGAAAACTTTTAACTTCCTGATGTTAAAAATTAATTGTTCATGCATTTCAATCGTTTTCTAAATTAATTGATTAAAGATTGCGAGTTTATATGCGTAGATTTAATTACCATTTAACTTTTATTTTGGTTCAGTATTTTCCCGTAGATCGCACCCCCATTTAAAATACAATATTTTTTTAATCTAACTTTATCTTTCGCAGTCAAAACTTGAATATATTAGAAATGCGTAATTTTTTATAAAATATAAATTTTATGTTTCTTAGCTCGAAGTGTTAGAACTTACCTAACATTGGCATGCATGCGATAAAGAATAAAAGTATGCTATAAAATCTTTTTGTTGTTATTCGTTTTAGACTAAGCAAATATATTTCTTTTGTACATCTGCTGTAAATGCGGTTCTCACAGTTTCAGAGACATAGACCTATGGGCTGAGCTTATGTTTGAGACAATTAATGAAGGGAAAAACGGTTAAATAGATCTGGGTTTTTGTCTTTGTAGTTGTATGCGTGTATACTAGGCTAGTGGTTTCAAACTCCAGTTGCATGCGGGCCAAATACACGAACTGTAAACAACTGCTGGATCAGAATTTTTTAACAATATTGAAAATGTTATTAATAAAATAAATACTTTTTAAAATAAATTTTAAATCTAATAATGTAAACAATAATAATAATATCGCAAAGGAAAATATTCAAATTTGTATTTATTTTTTACCTGGAATCTAAATTTGATATTTGTAAGACATTTTTATTGATTACAAATTGTAATTTGAATATACTGGGAACTAAAAATCAAATCCTTGGACTGACATTTCTTTCAAATAACTCTAACACATTTAATAAATTTTTAAATAACTCACTTTAATTTAAACTAAAAAAAGTATGAAAACGTTCTAATTTTCAGAAAAAATTTATCGAGTGGGACAAAAACTTGAGAATAAATAATAACAACCTGTTCTCTTCCTCTTACTTATTAAATTTTTCATCAACGCATCAATAAAAGTGCATATGTTTGTATGTAAATAATTATAAACTTCTTTATTGCTTACTATAGCTTGGCATTTGCCGGTTTGTCAATTCTTGCAAAGCTTGTAACCTTAGAGAGAAGTTATTAGAAATTTTCTTCATGACGGATTGCAGAAGCTCATCGGTCAATCAGTCTCTTTTCTAATTAATTTTCAACTAGAAAAAGCTCTATTCATATATAAATGTATTATGAAATAGAGCGATTATTATTACTGTAAACATTCCTAACTGAGCTTATTTATTTTTTGACAAGTTAATAAAGTCTTTGAATAAGATTTACACCACATTGTAAACTAATTAGCTGCATTTATAGAATTTCTGGAGCATTATTCATTTTCTTTTTTAAAGAAAATAAAAATACTATAAATTACACATAAATAAAATCTTAAAATAATTGCAACAGAAAAGAAAACAGGAGATAGGACAGGATAAAATAGGAATAAGCATACGATACACCAGAATTTTACCATATGGTGATATAGGTCCCGTGGTGCTAGACTCAGTAAAGCATCTTACAGAAGATCCATGCAAACTTTCCAGAGCATTTTCATGCAATTATTATTTAGAAGAATTTTTATACAGATATAAAGACGCTTTCGTAATAGTTATTTCTCAAGTGAAAATAGGAAAGAGAGAACGTGTTTTTTCAAGAAAAATGAGAAATTATGTACTTTATATGTGTTGTGCGCAATAAAATTGCATACTTTATTTGTCAGAATATCGGTTCCAAAAGAATACAATTTACGTCGCTATTGCAAAAGGAATAATAAAGCAAAAGTTAAAATTTTAAAAACCAAATTCAGAAGCGAAATGTTAGTTTCTGAAATCTGGCTTACAATGACAGACTTTTTTACAGAAGCAAATAAATTCAATGAAACAACAGTTCACGCAAATTTTGCACTCGCACACATCATTGTAAAACATCAAATCTCTTTACTGATGAAGACTTCTTAGGGACTGGTAAGTCTGCTGAGCTTCTTTGTCCGGATAAGCAACAATTACTTAAAAATATTACTTCGCCAACCAATACGGTAGTAAAACCTTATGAACGAAATCGCTAATGACGTACGATATCAGTTATTATTATTATTATTTACGTGTTCCTAAAGCACTACACGAAAGGGAGGGATGTCTTCGTGGAGGACTTTCTAAGAGAAACTGGCTCGTATTAGCACGTTACACATGGGTAAAACCATGAAAATGCCCATGCAGCCATCCCATTCGTCGGGATTCGAACCTCAGACCGAACTACCAGTGTTCAGGGACCGCTCGGCCGCTGTTGGGCCTTACAATGCAAGTTAAAAGGAAAAAACTATATTTTTTGTTTCGGAATTCTCCAATAGCAGCAGGGTGAAAGTTCCGATATCACAAATATAGCACAACATGTCGTTTTTGTACGATACATTTATAAATTTGAAGTAATTGCTAATATTAGAAATAATGCTTATGTAAATAAAAACTGGTGCACAGAATACTTCTTCTAGAATACAAACTCCAATAGATAAATATTAATTAATTTGGAATGAAATGGTTGGATTTTCAAATGATAGTGCAAATGCCATCGATGGTAAAAAATAAATAAATAAATAAATAAATAATAAATAATAAATAAAGTAGCTTTAAAATTAGGAAATACAGTGCAAGGAGGAAGAATTTCAGATTACATTTTACATTATATAAGAAGCACTTCATCCTAAAAGTTTGCAGGTAGATAATGTTATGAAAAGAGTAACTAAAATAGCAAACTTTATCGATGGGAAAGTTCTATATTACCCAGAATTTATTGTATTGTTTGAAAAAATTGAAAGTAAGGGAGGAGAAATTATTTTTTATAAGGAGATGAGGTGATTAAAGTCGAGCAGCTGTTACTGAACAGTTTTTTTTTTATTTAATAAATGAAATCAAGATCTTGATGTGAAAGACACAAAAAAATAAATAACTAAATAAAATAAAGTAAAGTAAAACCATTGACAAGCTGCAATAGTAATACATGAATAATAAATTTAGCATTTCTTGTAATTTAATCGGCCACGTAAATATTCTCAATAAGGTGTGTGTGTGTATTTAATTATGGCAAAGCACACTAGGGCCATCTGCCTAAGGGGAGGGTTGCCTTCGTGGAAGACTTAAGGGAAACTGGCTCGTATACACGTTACACATGGAGAAAACCACGAAAACACTCATGCAGCCAACCCGTTCGCGGGATTCGAACCTCAAACCGAACTACCAGTGTTCAGCGACTTTACCGCTCGGCCGCTGGTGGGCCCCTATTCTCAATAAGGAGTTGCGAGGAAAGAATTTAAATTAACCACTGACATGTATATTTGTATTGCTTGCATATATTGTATTGTTTGGACTTGTATAAAACTTTAAGCTGCAATTATGAGAAACACAAATAAAAAAACCAAACTTTTGAATATTTCTTATATCAAAAATGTCCAAGAGAAATACCATTATTACGACAAGAATTTGAGGAAAGATTTTTAAGTTTTAATGATTTAGAGTTTGATTTTACATTATTTCATTGCCATTAAAAATGGGAACAACGCACTAGAAAATCTACAGACAGAGATTTAGAGTATGTCATGTATCTTATTCAAAGATTTGAAAACAATAAATAATTAATTGTGCTTCCCCAAAGATAAATATCATCAAATTTGAAATTTTAAAGTATGAATAATTCGCTTTGTTTATAAGTACAGTTATAAGTGAACGATATGTTTCCTAGGGTGAATATTAAATGCGTAAGAAAAGAATCAGATTGACGAAAATAATTTCTAGTAATTTTTCGCCAAAGCTACAAACTTTAGAATCGAAACACCATTAAGTGTCAAGCTGTAGTAAGAAATAAAGAAATTTATAATTACTTACATACAAACATATGTATTTTATCGGTATATGTCGAAACAAATTTAATAAATAAAATAAATATATTGCTATTATTTAGTCTTAAATTTTCTCTCACTTGGAAAATTTTCATAATTAGTTTATTTTTAGTTTAATTGTATTTGGTATTTAAATCAACGTATTAGAACTATTTGAAATAAATGGCAGTCTGAAAATTTAATATTTAGCAGTCAGTATGTTAGAATTACAAAATTTAGTCAACAGGATAGAAAAGAAATATTTATCAGTGCATTATTACGGCTGTTTACATATGTTTTGATATATATTTAGCAACTGATTGGGTACTGAAAGAAAACAAACAGAAAATTTGACCGAAATAATGAGTCTCATCATTTCAGTACGATAGAGAAGGAGAAAACTATATGTTTGAAAGATAAAAATAAATATAGAGATAAACATTGCAGAAATACAAATGAATATTACTGAAATAAATTTTAAGTCCTGTTCCAAGAAAATTAGATTTAAAAAGTAAATTTAAAACATATTGTTAACTTACATGCCGTACACCCTACATATGAGTGACGTGTAACACTAGGTCATAAAGTAGTGTTATCCATATATTAAGGTTATTACGGTGCAATACACGTATATATATATAATATTAACCCTAATTTTATTGAAACAAATCTGGCATTCATCTGCTTTCAAAGCGTACATTCAGCTCGCATGCAGTTTGATCTATGGAATAAAACTTTTTCAGGCTTTTCAAAAGTAGAACATTCCTTAAACTTCTGTTTTCGAATGTAGAACGTAAGTAAAATATCAACTTTATGTTGTTTGTTCAATTAATGATTTTATCATCATTATTTTCTTAAAGGATAGAAAAGTTGGGAATGTTATTCATATAATTAAAAACGGAAATTCTATTAATAAATATATATTTTAATAGTAAATGTTCGATGAATAGACTATTATGTACACGCATTTTAAGCATTTCAGAAATACTTAACATTTCCGTTGCATTTTTGGTTTTCCTATGCATTGCATCTGCGAATGCTCCAAACTGTTAAAAACACCAAATTTCCATTGTATAGGGTGTCCGAGAAGCATCCGTACCCCAAGTCTGAGTATCACAGAAAGCAATACCAATGAAATTTTAATCTGTTTATTTAGCAGATGCTACAATTGAATATATACATATACGAACTATGTATCCAATGGACTATCTGTATACGCTCCTTAGTGTGTGCTGTACAAATAGATGCATGCGTCTAGACTTCTACCTTGACATGTTTTAAAGGTTGTCACACTGTCGTGCAATTCTCTATCTGTTCTGTATCGAGGATGAGAGAAATATTACTTGATTGTTCCTCCCAATTAATTGTCTGATGTTGAAAAGTTCAGGCTTCCTGGGGGCCATTTTAACGTGCATGGAGGTACTGGTGAACAATGTCGAATATAGCCACTTAGAAATTGTTCAGGAAGGAAATCATGCACCTGAAGAGCAAATTAGGCCCGAAATCCATTCGGCTGTACCCACACACGATCTACGGTTCTCTTCCTTTGAAGCTGATATAATAATAATCAAGTTTGCAATATTTGTAAATAAGCAGCTCCATTCACATATTCGTAAAAAAATATCATCCGAGCATGAAAGCAGTGTTACCAATACTAATAACGCTGTAATTAAAATTACACTGCAGAGATAAATAATATATTGGGCATTCCTTTATTTCGCCTCAACATGAGGCACTACGAGTCCGCATACCCCGCCGAACTAGGTCCAGGGCTTCAACACCTGCCCTCGAACCTTGGAGGGATTGGCACTAACGCACGTGATGCAACATAGACTCCAGGGCGTCAATGGTCATCGATTTGCTACTCACCAGTCACACGGGCTGCCCAACGCCCAAGGACATTACCCAGAATACTGGGAGAGCCACCCCCAGGCAGAATAGCCATCCCGGGCTACTAGAGCCTTAAGCTCTAGGACTAGCCATACTCACGGGCCGAACAATAAGTGATCCAGGGCTAGTCTTTAGAACCGGGCGGGCCTTTAAAATTTAGGGGCCTTTAGAACCACTAAATTCAAAATTTGTATACCCCCGTGGCCGAGACTGCTTGGGTATAGATCCTAGCCAGTGGCTTCGCAGAGTTCTGTACATCGACCCCCGGGAGGGCATTGCAGAGATAGGCAAAATCGCTCTTTCATGGGATCGGATCAGAAACTGAATCACTGAAATGAATCAGTTCTTCTTTACGACCACTGCTCACTGAAATGAATCAGTTCTTCTTTACGACCACTGCCCACTAACAAAAACCTTGATGAAAAATATTGATAACGAGGAGGGAATCAAGAGTGGTTAAAGGGGATGGATCAAAGAGCGGAAAGAATGGAACAAGCAGTGGGATCGCCAAAGTTTAGGCAGGTTGGAGTAAAGAGCGAAACGAATCGAACGAATAGTGGATTGTTTTGATATTCCTACAACTTTCTTTCTACATTAAACTAACAATATAATTCTAGACTTTAAATAAAATGAAGTTATGAAATGACTAAAATTAAATTAATTATCAATATAGAAAAATAAACATTCTTTTCTTCCCTAAAATGGATATCGATCTTTCCCGGCACACTTCCGTCAAGACCACCGCTCTTTTTGGCGAATCAGGTGTTCGCTCACTCAATGAAATGAATCAGTTCATGAAAGAATAACCAATCTCTATTCTGCAACGTTCGCAAAACGCGTTCTCCGTAAACTGTAAAAGAGCTATCACTCTATTCCTGGAATTAGTTGTTCATTTGCTCAGTAAAGTGAATTTGTTTTTTGAATCAGTTCCCAAGCGAATCGTCCAACACTAACATTTTTCTCTGTGAAACTCAAACCAACGATGAATGAACTTCCTGTACTTAAATTAAATTGAGCTTCATTTGAAGTCGGTGTTGCTGAAAGGGGTAATTGCATAATTATATGAATTTGCAGGCTTTATCTTAAGCTAACACTTTAAATACAGCATAATTTAAAACTTTCATCGCAGTGCTTTTTGACATCTGATACTTACTTTTCTGTTTTTGTACAGTTCCACGGCTGCCCATATTGGAATTTGTAGCACGGACACCATAATCAGAACCCACCCAATTCCTTCAGCCCAGACTGGATATGGTTTACCTGCATACTCAATGATTTGATGCTGACTTAGACTGTAAATTAGAACAAACTGGAAAGGAAAGATCATATGAAGTAAGTTTTATTCGATACTAGTTCTATTCAAATGTAATTTCAGGAGTTATTTGTATAGTAATACTTACCAAAAGTATAGCAGGTGAAAAATACTTCCAGCAAAGTCGCCAGTACAACCCAGGGCGAAATCCTAACATAAATTCGATATCATCGGCAAATCTCTCAACCCCTGAAAGAAATCAATGAGCATTTATGATTAAATTTCTTCAAGATATCATTAATAGTTTATAATGAAGATCACTAGTTTTTCTTACCCAACTTTTAATACTTTACTGCCACTTTCTTATCGAAAATTTTCAAATTTTGTATTTTGCAACTAAATATTATATTCTTAAACTGTGTTTATTTTTAACTACATTCCTGACAAGTATGATTTATTTTTCGCTCAATTTGAAATTCTCTTCGAAAGTATATATTTCTAAGCTCCAAAATAATTTTCATGAAGATTATAAACATTAAGATTACGTTAGATTCAAACCACACACTCCTACCATGAAAAACCTTTCTGAAAGTTTAAAGCTAATGTGAATGTCATTCTGGAATTAGGAATCTATTCCTCGATTTCAGCTACATTTAATCTTTTTCTAAACCTCTCGTGTAAGAACTTACTGCCTATTTTGAAGATTTAACCAATAATTTAATTAGTATTAGAATAAGTTTTTTAAACTTTCTGCCGACGATACTTATGTATTGAAGATAAGGACTAGCATTAGTTTATTCTGCGTCCTGTTCTTTCATCATTTATGATGACGAAAAAAACAGTTTTTATATGAGAAAAAATTCTATACAGGACTTATTGTCCCCTACCCGATTTGACTTGTAACCATGGAAACTGCAGCTGCGGAAAAAAAGGTCGAATAATTTTCCGTTTAGCGCGTTTCATTTCACGAAGACCACACGACTGAAGGCTGATTTGAATTTCAGTTTCAAATGAAGTTCAAATCAGCCTTCAGTCGAGTGGTCTTCGTTCAGATCGGATCGTTATTTCGTTCAGCTCGGATCGTTATTATCAGATTCAGATCGTTATTTGTATTGTGATTGCTCTGTGTGCTGATCACAATACAAATAACGATCTGAAATCGGGAAGAGGTTGGCAATGGCCTTGATGTGCCTATTTTAAGGTGCCAGAGTGTAACTCACGTGCGGTGGTCACGTGCACACTAGCATTGCACGTTCACGTGTACGTGCTAAAGAATCCTACGCATTGGTAAATGATTATCAAATTATTATTTTGAATTCTTAATTTAATTATCTTTATTTTTGTTTTTAATTGTGAACATCAAGAAATACAAAAGAAGTCATAAGCACACAAAAGTGTCTACGGTAAATAATAATAAAAAAATAATAATAGTATGTTGATTAGAAAAGTAATTTTCCAGTGAAGTTAACTACATTAAAAATCAGTTTCATCCAAACAGTTTCTTTATTATCAACGCCAGTGGCAGATAACTGTCTCATTCGCAATTTTTTTTTCTCAACGTTTGTCAGCGGTAAGGAAGTTTCCTTAGCAGATGTACAGTGAACGTTTAAAATGTACATGTTGCTGAAAGCTACAGAACTGGTACATATAGTGGTACCTCGGCATATATTCGCTTTAAAATACATTCCAACTTGGTATGCGTCCTTGTTGGACGCATAATTATTATTATTATTTTTTTTTTTGGATGGATAAAGTATTTGTTTGGAACATGACTCGAGTTGACACGAGTCACAACGGCATGCAGTATACTTGTTTACTTCTTTCGAGATCAATGCTAAGAATACATATGAGTGTCAGAACATCTATTGCTGTTATTCAGTAGATAACTCTCTCTACAATTCTGAATTTTTAAGTGATTCTGGATCTCTTAATATTTTTTTTTTTTGTAAATTCATTAACAATGAGTTTTAGAAGAGTTAATGAGAAGAGTTAATCAATGAATAATATTAAGGGTCACCATGGAGGTGAATAAAAGAGATTGTTGAAAAGTAGGAATATGACATGCCTATCCAGAACTCGGTTACTGCATACCGTAAACCGAGTACGATGGTATCTACGGGTGTCAAAAATAAAAACACTATTGCATCGGCTAACGTTACGAAGGGGGTAAAATCAATTACCAAAGATCAGAGACGTTCTAGCGTTCAGAAAAATTGCCTTTGATGAGGAGAGCAGAAACACATTTATGCACAGCATCATGTGCAGCGAGTCATTTATGCACAGTACGTATTTCACCACAGCATCTGTGTTTTAGTATTAAACAGAACTGTAATATATAGAGTCATTAGGTTACAGCGATGCAGGAGACATGAAAAATGTACAATGTCCTCGTCCGCATTCGAACTCCGAACATTCCGATTACGCGTCGGATGGGCACAAAGGCACGCAAAAAGAGGGAGAAAAGTAATAGCAACAGGATTTCTTTTACAAGAACAGATTCAATATTTTCCCTTTATTTCTTACTGGAAAGATCTTTTGGTATACGTGCAAGGTTCTGGAACAGATGACATATACCGAGGTATCACTGTATTAGGTTTTATTAGGTTTCAGAGGTAGTAAAAGTCTGAAACACGCTTGTAAACATTTCCATTAAGGACTTAAACCAAATTATTTAATGGTAACATTAACGATTAATTACTATTTGACCTAGAATCTATTTTGTTTGACTACTGCTATGCTTTTTTTAATGCGTACATGTTTTATTCACCAGTTACGGTTTAACCTGCAATCTAAATTCTCACATAATTATCTCCGTTGTAAAGCAATCTGTTCAAAGTGGAAACTAATATAAACGTAAAATTCTTATGAAAATATCATGCACTATAACTGCAACAGAATTAAATCCATTTTTTTCCTATTAGGAAGGAGTCATTTCGAATAGCCCATGGTAACTATTTACTGCAATTAAAGGAGAAAAGGAATACCTATAAAGAGCAAAAATATGTATTGAATTATATTTATACAACTATAACACAAATATTTAGGCTCTATTTCATTTTAAATGAAGAACGGTTTTATAAATTTTCCCTTTCCAAGCCATCTAGTGGCTATGCTACACAGTTTCATGAGCAGCTGGCGTACATTCATATATCATTTTTTAATTCGATTTACAATTGTGAAACAAGATACCTCCATATAGAGGAATCCTAAATTATACTTTTAATTATCATTGCTTATTTAAAAGCCTTTAATTATCATTTTGTGTTTGTTAATTTTCATTGTTTATTTTGAATCTTTATAAAGGAAATAGGAAATTTAAAAAAGCTTTCTATTACGAGTTAAATTTCTATAATTTTTTGCGATTAAACTAATACATTATAAATGGACCTTTTCTTTTAACAAAGCGCTACTTAACGCCAAACTTAAATGTTGGCTTCAACTCTAATTAGATGATGGCAATGTAAAGCTTCATGAAATAAACCTTAACTTGTATTAACAGTAACGTATCATATAATATATATAACGTTTAATCCAAGCAATGCTGTGGTTGTGTGCGATGCTGAATTTGTGTAATTCTCTGATTTTTTTAAGAGAAAACGCAACACGATGTACAAGGAGATATTTGTTGTTTTCCCCATGTAGACAGTCTGTTTTCCTTTAAAATATCAGAGTATTGCACAAAGTCGTCATGCGTACAGCCTTGGCATTGCAGGCATTAAATATTGAAGCTATTCATTGAGCAGCTATTCATGAAACGATATAATCATGCTGCCACATTTGGCCCTTAGGGTCACATTTGGCTATTGATGATCCTTTAACATAAAAGTATTCATTATAATAACTTATCTTTGACTTTCATACTTTTAGAAGTTTATTGAAATAGTTAGATAAAAGCCGGAAGAGAAAACATTTACAAACATTTTTTGAATTTTTACTTTCTCACTATGTTAAATGTTAGGATTTAACCTTAAAAACCTAAGATTTGCCAACACGGCATCACATGTATGTATAAAGAAAGTACATCTGAAGCAGTTTTTTAAGTTAATATACTACATAATCAGAGCATTTACATGTATAATGTTTTGCATATACAATTAAACATATGTGCTCCTACATATGCATATATACTCAAACTGGGAAAGGGCATTATGGTTATTAATATGTCATTATAACATTGTGAAACTATACATGAGAATTACAGTTCAACACGGTATTTGAAAATGTATGTTAGTTTGGTGGTAAAAGTAGGTTCTTTATTATTTCCGCAATTTCAATCCAAATTAATGAATTATGGTATAAATCTAAAAATAATAAATTTAAACAGTTTATACATGTTTCTAATTGGAAACAATCGCAGCAAAGTCTTTAATCTTTTGCTACGGCTTATACAAAACAATATACTTTTATTCCAAACTATCATTTCACAAGCAAACTCATTTTCAAAAATATTTAGAAGTTATAACATTCTATACGCTGAAAAGCCGGTTACTCCCATAGTCATTCACCCTTTACAAATGGGTATTTTGTATGATTCGCATGAAATATAATCAAGGCATAAAAATACAGTTACAAATGTCAAAGAACTTTGGCAGCATAATTCGGCTTAAATATGGAAACCTGAAGATTTTCATTTCCTTTTATTTATTTATTTTTTGTTTTGTTTTGTTTTCCTGTTACGGTGCCTGTTTACAATGAGTAACTCTCTAATAAATTTAATGCTCGTAGCCAATTTTTAAAGTAGGTCAAGATCGTTCCAGTCACGCTCTATTACCATTGCTAATACGAAAATACTAGCTGGTGGTGCTTTTCCTTCATTGGCACTGACGCTGATTCTATAAATCAAATTACCGTTTACTAAGAGCATAATAAGCGATCTGTAATTGGTTTCAGAAATAGAGAAAGTAATCTGTTAATTCAAGAGCAGGGGTGAAAAAATATTTTCAACCACGCGCCAAAAAGGTCCTTTTTGGAGCAACAAGCAAGGTTTTTACAGTGGTCCTATTGTGTGCAGGACGCGATGGGTGAACAACGCTAATCCCCGGTAAAAGAATTTTAAAAAATTATAGTTTTTAAAAATACGCCAAAAAAAAGTATTTTTTCCTGTTTCTCATCAAATGACTCAGATGTGTACTGTTTCATTTTAAAATTAAAATTTAGGCCTGAAATGTTCTTTACCTAAGAAACTTTTAGGGGTTCCTTTCCTTTTTCTGATTAGTCTTTTCATCTCAACAATATTCACATTTCGTTGTTTAATTTCTAAATTAAAACTACTAGAAATGATATATTATTAGGCAAATGCATAGACTTTCTATCTTGTCTGTAGTGTTGTCCTCAGTTTATGTTGATCGTCGATACAGTCATGCGTGTATAGGCACATATACACTGCAACAATAGATGCATACTCGTACTGCTGATTTCGGAAATTTGCGTAGATTCAATTATGATTCAATTACCATCAATTATGATTGGTAGCATTCACACGGACCTACTTGGCAATTCGCGAAAAGATCATTCAGTGTTTAATTACAGCAGGAATACATTTTAAAAAAATTAAAGAAAAGGGAAAATCTACATTAATCTTTTTTTTTACCAAAATCAGAGACATCAGGGAGAATTGCAATAAAATAATTATCAATCAAATTCTTCTAAAATGTAAGACATTTTTAACAGTTTATATCCAAGAATATGGAAATATCTTTTGCTTTGGCTTTTCCTTTACCTTCCTTCTTAAATCAATCATTGCGTCAAACCTTTTTTCTCAGATAAGCATTTTATTGACGAAATGAAAACTGCAAGCTAAAAGTTAGAATTAGATGAATTCTACACAAATTTATAAGCTTGAACCTTAGTATTTAAAGCGGCCAGGGTTTTTGCTAAGAAAGCACAAATTTCCCAAAACTACTATGAGAAAACTTTTTTTTTTTATTATTTTAATGCAAAAACCCTCCTGTTATTCGTACCTGGATTTGTTTTCTTTTGATATATTGCCTTAATTTCGTTGACATATTTTCATATGCACGTATATATGCGTTCTTACAGATATCACAATAAAAATTCTAGGCCGTATATATACGGCCTTGCCGCTTAGAGGGTTAAAGTAATTCAAAGCATCTATATTTTTAAATTGAAAGAGAAACACACGAAGGAAATATTTAAAACTAGCCCCCCCCCAAAAAAAAGCAACCTTAGGTTAGCATGAAATTTGGGGAATTCAAAAACCTAAGGTTACTTTTTTTTTGCCTTATTTTAAATATGTAATATTAAATCTGTACCTTTTCCCTACATAATGAAACAGCAAATAATACATAAGGAATGCGTCTCAAATATTAGGAAGGAAACGAAGAAGAACTCGAACGTATAATTAATATTGAATTGTAAAATTTCTTATATTGTTGCAATGCCGCTCTCAAGTCTTTTAACAAAATAGTTTTTTTTTTTTTTTTTTTTTTTTTTTTTTTGTATTACAGTGTGACAGATATTATAAACATCGTGATGTCATTATAATAGTTGCCATTGTAATATTGTGATAGCGTTACAGTTATTTGGCAAATAATGTAACATTATTATAAATGCTCGGAAAATTAACTTTGCTTACCATATCCCCACATTAGCATTGTTATTTCGATAGTAGCAACAAATAGGCCGGCATATCCACCTCCATATCTGTCCATTAAATTCAGAACGTACTGTCCACCCTAAAAAGTAACATGTATTTTTGTGACATGAAAAATAAATGTAATATCGTAATAGAGAGTCTGATGTCAAGATGTAAATAGTACATTTCATAATCAAGTAAGTTTTTAATTACATACATTATGTACATAATTATGTAATACAAAAGACAGCAGACGTTCAAGACAATTTTATATATCAAGAAATTTTTAGTGTATAGTAATCGAATGAGCATCAAAACACAAGTTTTCTTTGAATAGAATTCTCTTTTACTTCTAAGTAGAATCTTCGCCTGCAGAGACATTCCATTTCGTAAAAACTGAATATTGGGTAATCATGTAGTATGCGATTTACCGCTTTTGGTTAATTACTAAAATTGGTAGTTCTATTAAGCATTTCATTTTTTCCACTTTTATTACGTTTCCAAATATGAAAGCTATCGAATTTTATATTTATGATGTTATCATTACTGAATTATGATGCTACTTGAATTTAAATTCAATGAATTAAAAATTTCATATTAAATTAATTTGTGGAATTATTTTCATTTGTGTACTCTTAATTATTTGTATTTATTTTCTTAATTAAAGACAGCGTTTTCTGGCGCCATGTAAGAAAGAAATAATTACCTAAAACTAGTAGGTCGCATACTACATCATTACGAAATGCTGATTATAATAACCCTCACTATTAGCCGTTCCTTTAAAATAAGCTACGGACGCTTCGTGTGGTTAATAGAACAGCATTTGATTAGGTATACTGCATACGATCTGAAGAGTCTTTTTAAAATTGCCACAAATGATGAGAGATCTCTGAAAAGACTTATTACTATATTATTATTCCCACATTTTGAAAAAACAAGAAAAACTTATGCCAAATGAATTATTAATATTACAATATTATTAAATATTACAAAAACTACGATTCGTACTAATACAACTCTGCATGACAAAATAGAAAATACATCGCAGCTTGGACTTTTTTTAAAAAGTCTTTAAAAAGTTTTAAAAAAGTCTTTTAAATTCAAAAGGCCACTTTTGAATGTAAAGTATATCGTCAATACAGTGGCGGACCTTGCAAAATAGTGAACCTGCAAGAGTTTGATCTGCCAACCTCCCGAGTCACGCGTGAGAAATTTCTTCCAAGGAAAATGTTTGATTTGATTTATTTGATAATGGCAAAGCACTCGAGAACTATCTGCCTAAGAGGAGGTATGCCTTTGTGAAGGACCTTTCTAGTTAAAATACACGTTACACAAGGAGGAAACACGAAAACTCCATGCAGCCAGCCCGTTCCCCGGAATTCGAATCCTGTACCGAACTAACAGTGTTCAGAGACTTTTACCGCTCAGCCGCTGGTGGGCCTCCAAGACGAAAGAATGGGGCAAAGCTTTCTCACCCATCGTACAGTTCAACCGTAGTTTCAGGAAACTCTTTTGTGTTCTGAGGCTTAAATTCTGCCTGAAAAGACACCATTTCGGAACAATTACAAAGATCAGAGCAGCTATAACAGGTGTTCTGCAAGGCTTCTCAAAACAAAGCTTCCAGCTCAGGGCAATTAGTGTGTAGAGTCATTATATTATATCGACGCAGGAATGTGAAAAATGTGCAATGCCCGCAACGCGATTTGAACTTCGGACTCTCTGGATACGCATCCAGCGTGCTTCTATTTATACAACGAAGGCATGTGGAAAGAAGAGGAAAAATACCTTATATACTCCAACTTTTAAAGGGTGACTGAGAGTTATAGAACCCAATCGCCGAATCGTGATGGTGACGAATTATCGTCCACCACGTTTTAGTTCGGACGCCACTTGTAAAGTCAGGAGATTACATCGATGTAGGAAAGTGAAAAGTGTGAAGTGATCTCGCCGGGATTCGAATCCCGAACTTCCGAATACGCGTCGAGCGTCCTTCCGCGAAGACATGCGGAAAGGAGGAAGAACGTGGTAGAAAACATCTGGTGACAAAAAGTGGTAGAAAACATCTGGTGACAAAAAGTGGTAGAAAATATGTCAAAATGTGGCATAAAATCAAAGTAACCTGCTTTGAAGAATACTGAGCACCTTTAAACCTACTGGTAATGAAGTGATTTTTCAGAAATTAATCTCTTTTTTAAAGGACAAAACTTGCACATTATCGCTTAAATATATACTGGTGTCCAAAAATTAAGGACGAGACGGTTTTTTCAATATAACTTTGTACAAAAGCTTTCCAAATCAACACATTTAATACCGTAAGATCCCCAATACGTAAGACATGAGTACTGTAAGCAACACTTACTAAAAAAGAAATCAGAGGGAAAAAAAGAAGCTTTATTGAAAAAGTAGCATGGAGCGCAATGCGACTGAAGGCCGAAACATCCCTGTGATGGGTGTCCAGCAAGAAACATCCGGTCTTTAATAGGGGATATGATCTCCCCTGACTGCTAGGCAGGTTTCACAGCGTCTGCCCATGCTGAGAATGAGGGTGTCAATGAGTTGTTGAGGCATTGTTGCCCATTCGTCTTGCAGCGCCAATCGAAGCTCCAGACTCGTTACTGGTGGTAAGGTACGAGCTGCCAAGCGTTTGCCTAGAAAATCCCATACAGGCTCGATAGGATTGAGATCCGGAGATCGTGCCGGCCAATCCATACGTTCAATATCCTCACTCTCTAAAGAGCTGTTCGGCAGCTACTGTGCGATGACATGGTGCATTGTCGTCCATGAAAAGGAACTGCGGACCCTAACGCCTCTAAAAAGACGCACATATGGAAGAAGAATCTCGTTACAATAACAGGTCCCGTTGACTGAACCTGCGTCGAAGATGTGAAGGTCTGTACGACTACCAAGCATGATGCCTCCCCAAACGAGAACACCGCCACCTCCATACCTGTCCCTTTCAATGATGTTCGAGGGATGATTGCGGCTTCCCCGCTCTCTCCAGATGAGTATGCGATGAGAATCGCTACTCAGACTGAATCTGCTCTCATCTGTAAAGAGTACTCGTCCCCATTCATTGTCTCTCCAATTCCGGTGTTCCCGGCACCACGGAGAATGCCTTCTCCGATGGGCAGGCGTTAGAGGTACACACCGTACAGGGCGTCGTGCAAACAGAGCACCACCGTGCAGTCTTCTGGCAACGGTGAAACGCGATATCGGTCGTCCAGTAGCCTGTGTCGTGTGTCTAGCGATTTCTCCCGCTGTCTGCCGCCTGTTTCTTCTGGCCTGTAAGGCAATATACCGGTCATCTGCGGGTGTGGTTCCTCGTGGACGACCACTACTAAACCCCCGGATAGCTGTTCCTGTAGTTTGAAATTGTCTCCAAACAGCGTGCAATCTCTTTGCCAGAAATACTGATCTTACACCGACAACATGCTTTATACTACTCAGACACTTCCCCATTACGTCTACCTGCATATCTGCGCATGTGCTACCGTACATCACCTTACTTAAGCTCCTGATTGGTCTTTCTGTCTGCTCTGCCTCTTCGTTCAGCTGATATGCTAATTTTTCGACTTCGTCTTTAATTTTTGCACACCAGTGTAATGCATGCATTTGATCCATATAGGGTTTAAAAATGTATATATCTCCACAGCTTTCTAAACTTTTTCTACGCTTTCCCATGGAATATATCTAAGTTTTATAAATAACAAAAAGAAAAAGCAATTGTTAAAATTAGAAGCAAAGTACTGGTTATGTGCATGACATTTTCGTTTTTTATTGAACAAAATTGCTTTGAGCTTTCGATTTTGAACAAAAGTTTTAATTAGCTATAGTGGCTTTTTCCACGAAGAATGCAAGCAGAGTTATTGCTTTACATAGTGCTAAACTGTGACAAGCCAGTTCTGGTCAATAACAGAGAAAGCTGCCTAAAATGGTTGCAGACATTTTCAGGCGATTTAGGCCTTCTCTAGAGCTGGTTATCTTAGACAATACGAAACTTGGCGATATCAGTACCGTTATTTAATGATGTTTCTCTCATAAATATTGAGCACTCTCAGAGGGTGTTGTATCAGGAAGATGAACATAATGAGAAATTTAATTCATATATTGTTTTACTATCAAATGTTATTGATCAGTGCATGCATTTCACAGTTTTATTTCTAATTATTTATAAATTCGTTTATGTAAATACGATTCACTTAATAAATATTTATTATTTCACTTATGCAGAAACATACACTTGATTGAAATGTTTAAAAAAACTTACTTGCGTAACACAAGGAAGGCCCATCAAAAAGAACAGCATGCAGAAGAAAAATGTGATACCTATTTTTTTACTCTTCAAGTGCGGGTATTCATCATAAATAACGGTGAAGAAATTTTCAAGGTAAGAAAACTAGAAATAAATACCAAATATTTTTATTAATTACTACTCTTACACGCATATTCTTTCAGATGCTAAGAAGAAATTTACAGAAAATAGTACAAATAAATGGCTAAAAATTATAAAATGAGGCAAAAGAAGTTGAGTCGTACATTAGTAAATGCAACAAAAATAACATTTGAATATATTTCACCATGGAAAATATTGTATTTCGTCCCGTATTTTCCCCTAACCAGTTTTTTAGCACCCGGTTCTGAAATTTTTTAATATTCACGTAATTTCTCCTTTCTCAATTTAAGGGCGAACGAGCTTCCCTAAAATTTAAAGGGGATTCTCCTACATCTTAATTGTTTTCGTTTTACTGACAAAGACAAATCCTCTCAAACTACCTGCAAAGATCACGCAGAATATTTCCTTCTTAACTGCTGAACTTTATGCCGGCCTAGAAGAAGAACCGACCCATTCCGGCGAACCAAACACGAACAGACATTCAGTCCACGATTTCGCCCAGACAGTTGCACATTCACTTTCTCTAATTATTTATGGCTAATTTGAGGCCTAAGAAATAGCAGAGACTACAATAAAAATGAGTAAGACTCGAGCTACAGGAGGTAGAAATGAAGATATCTTATTAGATATTGTAATGCTAACACAAGTATGTATTCTTAAAGGAATGCGATTTTCTTTTAAGGAAACAATATTGGGACAGTTACTTGCAGTAATTTATTTTCTTACTGTAACTTCATTTTTCATAAATTAAATTACTCGTATAACTTCTCTCAATTTTCGGACAATAAAATTAGTAAAAAAAGCTAAAATACACGAAGAGATACAGTATTAACTAAGAATCTGACCTTAGGTGTTCCTAAATACATTAACTTATATTTTGAAACTTATCTGAGAAAAACTATTAAATGCCCTGTGTAAATCAATTATTCCGTGCTTTTGCATTGCTCTCTTATTTTTGTCAAATTCTAATAAATTATGGTCGTGATCCAATCCAATTGCAATATTCTTCTCATATTTTATGCAAATTAAAAGCTTTCTCCCAGATGCCGTTGCTGCGAAAATCTCACGACAGGGTTTGAGGCACAATAATCTAACCACTCAGAATAATGATCACTTTGACAGTTTGCTTCAATAAATGGCAACTGTATTGTGAAGTGCTTTTTTATTTTCCATAAGAAAAATTGGTTTTTTACCTTTTCTACAATCAATTCAAGTCCTTCTAGACATCAATCAGTATTAAGTACTGATTATTGAATCTCTTTTTACTGTATAATAAATTAATATTGTTGAGTTTTTCTCTTCTCTGACACCAGTTTTTACGCTATTTTCTTCCTTAACGTTCGTACGGGGTTCGCAGATTTGGAGTGAATAATGACGACACTTGATGAAGTATCGAAACACACTTTATTTAGCCAATATTAATCAGGACAGCTCCAATAACACTTTTTACAGTCGTCAAAGATCTTTTCTAAACACGCTGGAACAATCAGTGACACAACCTTCAGGTTATCAGGCTATCACGGTGGAGACAGCTTCCTGCAAAGCACCCGACTTTGCTTTCCGGAGCAGAGCTCCCGACTCTGCTTGGTCGTTCTCGGAAATCCACGTACTCTCGAACTCTCCACGCTACAACTCGCGATGCACTCGACGACACACGAGCACAGCTCCCGACTCTTCGGCTCAGTCGGTCCCGGAGCTCAACTCGCTCTCTCGACGATGCACTAACCGCGATACACTAACAGACTCCTTCGGTGCACTCGACGACCCACTCGGCACTCGCTGCCCGGCTGTCAATTCGATCGGCTCCGCAGGGATTGATTCGCTAGACGAGACACCAACTCGTTACTAACTCGCACTCTAGAAGAGGCACACACACACTAACTGATTGCGGACCAGCAGGGTATATATTGCTTTCGGCTTGTGTTTGAGAACATTCTGGGATAAACCGGTAAGAATTCGTTCCAGGAGGTTCTCCATCCGTCCATGGCATATCGCCAATTTTGTCGCCAATGAGCGGTTTCTCGCCAAATGTGGCAACCTTGCCTTCCCTTGTCATTTTATGGCAACCCTAAAACTGCTTTGCGCCATCTTACCACGCTTGTACATTTCGTAACAATATCTATATCCCGAAGAAAATCATGCATATACTCTCAGTATTCAGGGCGAACGTTAAGCTTATTGCGAGTATTCTAAGCTAATGCCTTTCATAAATTCTGCCACCAGTGTTAGTATCTCTAAGATGTTTGTTTGTAGTTATTAATTCAAAAAACCTGTAAACAAAGTAATTATCAAGATAGATCCCTAAACGTCCATACTTCATTATGAAGCTTGACCCAAATAAAAGCACATAAATATATCGTAGCAATTTAATAAAATTTCTATAAAGCTGCTTGCAAAAAATTCCTCCAGTGTGTATTTGCAGTGCAAGGGTTGACATATCGCACGCAAAAACCGTGTTTCTTCGGTTACGGCGTTATTTGTTTCAAAATATTTCTTCTCTCCTAATCTCCTAATCCATGTAGATAATCTAGTATACAAAATACTCCAGCCTCGACGTATGTTTATGTTTATAATAATGAATATCTGTTGTCACAGCGATAATGTGACAATGTAATTTTTACAACCGCAATTTATTTACTAAGGCAAATTCCCCTTTTTAATGTATATAATACACATGTCAAACTGAATGCATCTTATAAATGTCAATGTCAATGTTTGTACCGTGAATGTTAATACTCCCTTTTTCCTTAAACGTATATTATGCTTAGTGTATTTCAATATAAATTTTATTTACAGCGCAACTGTGTGACAGTGTCATACTGTTTTAAATAACCACTACTTGCTATCTCCCGTTAATCTGTACATTAAATGCCTTGCACAAAGAGCACAAAGAGTTCTCCATTTGAGCTTCTCACTGGTGTTAAAATGAGAAATCGAGAAGACTTAAAAGATTATGGAAATTCTTGAAGAAGAAGAAGGAAATATTATGATGAAAGATCGAGAAGATATGAGAGAGGAAGCAAGGAAAAACATTCTAAAAATTCAGGAAGAGAATAGAAAACATACACAAGAAGAAAAAGAAAAGAGGCACAAGTATACAATGTGAACGACTTAGTTGCTATACAAAGAACGCAGTATGGAGGTGGTCTAAAGTTAAGGCCAAAGTTCTTCGGTCCATATCGTGTAACAGCGAGGAAAGGCAAAGATCGTTATCAGGTGGAAAAAGTGGGACACCATGAAGGTCCTGGATGTACCACCACAGCAGCTGATCTCATGAAGCCGTGGACTTCTACTATATAGAACTATGGTGTGGTTCTTCCACACTTCTTTCTTTTTTTTTTTAATTTATTTTCAGGTGCTGTCTTGATGTTCCAGTGTTGCCGATCCGTGTTTTCGAGGACGAAAACCTGTCAGGACGGACGAGCTGTGGTATCTGTAAGGGCGACACAACCACCAGAGGACCTCACCGATGCGCCAGCAGCGAGAACGAGGTGAAAGATGAGTATGAGAGAGACTTTCTTCTGCTATCCCACGCGAAGGTGGTGAGATGTCTGTCTACACGTGAAGGTGTAGAATAAGGAACTGTAGTTTTCCACGCGAAGGTGGTAAATTGACTGTATAATACATCAGCAAGTGCGAGTAAGCACTAATCGGTTATGTGATAAGACTGGCAAAAGCTATACAGAATCCTGTTTGTATCAAACGGCACTTGTATTTAATCTCATTTGCACCTTTTCTGATTATCTTTATTAAATGTTCTGTGGTGTGGAAAACAACGTTGGAATTGTTATTTAGCATCTTCAACTCCCCCACTACATATATTTGTACATTATAAACTACATTACTGGTATGTACTTACCTCGCTATCAATGGCCAGCAGAAATAACATGAAGAAAAAGAGTACAGACCATAATTGGGGAACGGGAAGCCTTGCCAAAGCTTCTGGATATGTAACAAATGCCAAACCTTGACCTGTATGAAAAATGATTTCAAATATTAAACCACAGCTAAAATTGTAACTTTTAACTAACTAGTACTCTATCACAAGATTGAAACCCTGTACCTCAGTGGTCTCAAACGCCCAGGCAGTATGTGCCTGCGCCTCGCGTAAGATGCATAACTTCGATTATAAATACATTATTCCGATTATGCATTTGTTGCAAATACGGTATTGGAAAGATTTCAAGGTTTTATTTATTTGAAATACGAAATTGTATAATTTTCATTTTCAATAAAAATTTTCATGAACATGAACATAAAATGAATCTATCAGAAAATCTATAAATGGAGCTAATTAAACTAGTTTGATTTTTGAAATATTTGAAGATATGGATTTTATTAATTTTATACGTTTTTATCAAAAACTAAATATGTTCAGCTACGAGCTTTATTTCACAATTGAAAATTAGCAAGAAAAGAAGCCGATTGACCGATGAGCATCTACAATCCGTGATGAAGCGGATTTTTAGTAATTTCTCTCTGTACTACAAACTTTGTCAGAAGCGAAACGCCATCCAATTTCAAGCCATAATAAGAAATAAAGAAGTTTATATTTATTTACGTACAGAAATATGTGTTTTTGCTTAATAAATAAGAAAATGAGACTATATTGTTATCATTTGTTCTCAATTTTTATCATACGCGGTAAATTTCTCTATAAATCTAGAAAGTTTTCATAATTTATATATTTTCGTTTAAATTAAAGTAAGTTATATAATGGATAATTAAACACATCAGAATTGTTTAATATTTAACTGTTATTGTTTCTGAATTACAAAGTGTAACCAAAACGTATGTTACAGGTACCAAAGTTTAGATTTCAGATAGAAAATAAATATAAATTTTAATTTTTTTTCTTTTACGATATTATTATTCTTGTTCACGCATGTTTTGATAAATATTTAGTAAGCGAAATTTAAAATTTATTTTAAATATTTTTTATTTTGTTAGTAACATTTTTCATTTAAAAAAAATACTGACCTGTCAGCTGTTTTCAGCTCGTACATTTATCCAGCTTGAAACCTGAGTTTGAGACCACTAAGACCAATGGACCCATTAATAAGAAAAGAACCCGAATGATCGATGACCACTTTATGTAACAATCAGTCGGAACTATTTCAAGTATTACGGTGCGTTATCTCTTACGTTAGAAATGAGAGTGATAAATAAAATTAATTAATTCCATATCTTGTAATCAAAAATAAAAATTGTGCTGAGAAGCAGGTAGCGCTATATGTGATACTAAATCTAAAGAGGCTAAGTGCCTCTCTAAAACCTACAGAAATCATAATCTGGTCGAAACTGAAAGAGATCTGAATTAGTCTACACAAACAATTAAATCTCAATATTATTAATCCCCTAAATTAAAATCTCACGTCCACTGGCAAAATCAACTCGAGAACAAGCTTAAGTACTCACTGTTTATTTTGGCTACCGGTCATAAATTCTGCTATGATATTTTAGTATAACTGCAGAATTTACAGCCAAAGATTTCCTGTATTTAACATCTCTAACACAACTAAACATTATCTCTGAGACATTTTATAAAGCTCTGCTGTGAGCTAATTATTGTAACAGAAGTTAAGAAAAGACAAGATGTGGTACAACTTAAAGTAACTTAAAATAATCATCACGTTATCACCTAAATCATATTTTGATAGAACAAATAGCTATAGTATTAATGAATAAAAAACATTTTAGTCAATAACCAATAATGCTGTTCGACTGCGGCTGAAAGTGGCTTTTAAATACGCACAATCCAATTTTTGGACCGCTGGTTTCTTGCAGATTAAACATTTGCCAGGAACTATAGTCTCAATCATTGCAGTTTTAGTCACTGTCTCCTCAATGGTAACGTTATTTCAGTAGGCGGAGACGATTATTGATCTCCTAAAGAAACGGGAAGAAAACACACAAACACCTTCCCTTGGACAATTGTCCAAGCCTAAACTTTCGATTAGTATCCAACCTTAGCACACTATCATTTCATCCAACTATACCATAAGCATATTTATAAAATGTACTTGGATATTACGCGTAATTTCTAAAAAACAGTATGTAAGGAGTATGTTAATTTTATTAACAGTTAAATTTTAGGTCAAAGTTCCTTTCCTGTAGAAATTCTTAACTTCAACTTACTACTTCCGGCCAGAACGTAGTTTTAGAATACATAATGAGGAGAAGCGGTATTTAAACCGCGAAGTTATTTACTGAGTCAGAGAGAATCAGAGTTTCTGATTTACGCGCGTCTGCCTTTTGGCCATTCTCTCTCTCTCAAAGCTGTTATTACGCTCGGCTGTACTCAGGCCCTTGATAAGTCAAATACAGTTCGTAGTCAAATACAGTTAAGGGGCCAACTAGTTCAAAATCTTGATAGCTTCGGCTATATTTCTTTAGTTAATCTTAGTTTTAGTTTAATATTTAATCTCTTAAGTTCAAGCTCAAGTGTCGGCTTTGATTGTACACTCTCAAGACAGAGTTTTGTTAAATCTTATTGGAATAATAAAGGTTTAGTTACCCTTCTATCGTTTTGTTTCTTGTCACACGAACTTAAGCGATTATTCGCTAACTAGTTCTTTAGATTCGTCACCTTCTACAGTAACTGAGAATTACACTAGTGAGAATCTTACAAGTAAAATATCAAATGACACTGAGATTAAGGAAATGTTAATAATACTCAGTCATTGTTACATACATAAATATCTCACAAATTTAGAAGATAAAAAATATAACATATTTGCTGAAGAATTAAAGGGAACATACCAAAGACATAGCGTCAAAATTAAAAATAAGCTATAGGAATCTGCCTGGTGTGAATAATTTTGTCGATAAATTTATAATAATTACGCCGATTCCTGTAGTTTATTATTGGATATGGGCATATGTCCTCGCCGTTATTGCAGTTTGATTGTTGCTAACAGGAGCTTGTATGTTGTTAACAGCTCGTTTTCCCACAGCATCTTTTTCGATATCTCTCTAACAACACTCAGGAACAAGAGAGCTTCATGCTGAAGCTTCTGTTCTGAAGAAATCTGTTAGCAACTGGCTAATAGATTTCTTCAACTGGAAACTACAACAATTCTACAAGAGAGGCACTGAACTCTTCCCTGAACTCTGGTCATTGACAAAAATGGTGATTACATCACTGAGAGAATGTGTGAGTGATTATTGATTTATGACGTATCATATCAATGCTTTGTTATTGTGTTTTTTACTGTTTTGCAGTGCATTGTATATTATACTATTAAAATCAAAGCATGGTTGAAATGGCCGCCCAATGGAGGGCGGCACGAACTTATGCATCGCCTCAGTATTAGTTTTTTTTTAACATGATGCTTACTTTAGAAAAGAACAATAAATATGAAGACTATAAGCATTACTTGGGGACTTTATGAGCATTACTTATAAACATTCGTCTTGCGGTGTGGAGAAACCTCATCCAACACCCTTTTAGTTCGGGCGCCACTGTAGAGACATTATTTTTTGGAAGCAGGAAAGATGAAAAATTAGCAACCGCCTTCGCCGGGAATCGAACCACAGACCTCTGGAATACTGGCCCAGCGTGAAGAACCACTACACCACAAAGGCACGCTAGGAAAGGGGGAGAAATACCTTATATTGTAACCCCAGGGAGGGCTTGAGTCTGGTCGGCAAAAACTGCTTTTGTGGGATGTTCTAGATGAAAACGTAGTTCATCTTCAATATTTTTAGACTGATAAGCAAAATTTAAAGATGAGCTCTGTTTTCATCTGGAACGTCTCACAAAAGCAGCTGAATGAAAAGAACTTTGTGAAAACTACATTACGCAATGAAATAATAATAGAAATAACACCAGTACAACAAAAGTTACAAAATTATGTAGCAAGACTCAGTCAAAATGATCACATAGCACTAACTGACATGATAAAGGAGCATGCCTACCAACCGTATAAGAGACGAAAAACGTAGACCTTCGTAGTTATTAATCACTCCTAGAGTCATTGAATGACTGGCGCTATCTGTTCATATTTGCTCTAAACAATTGACAATATTGTCACCTACTACTGTTCTTCCGACTGTGCTATCTTGAAATGGTAAGTGCGTTTTGATACATTTTTGACAAGCCATAAAGAGTCTATTCAAAATATCTCATGTATGGTAATTATTTGATCTGGAGCATAAAAGAATAAATATATTCGCAAAATGACTTCACTATGTAAAGGCAGAGCAACACGTGGCGTTACCTTCTAAAAAAATCAGAAAATTTGGCCACTTCAGAATACACAAACATAAGGGAGAATAATACCGACCAGAAGGTGTAGTAGAATCAGTACAGTTCACTTTCCGCAATACATGCTACATGCTTTCATCGCTGGAGCGACATCGAGAATTGCCTTCCCATATCATGGTAGCCAACACATTCGTTTTCGGTGAAGACTTTTGTGGCATACTATATTTCAGAATCAGGGTCAAATTATATGATCCTAGTACCACTGAAAAAAATCTCTTCGAGAATTGTCGTATTTGCACTTATCTTATGAACAATACTTAGTCCTTTGCGAATCTTTTTGCTGCTTGCATTAATGGAAACGATGCATCCGATGAACAGATGTTAAAGGAACATACTGAACTCCACATTATAATGAACCTTGGCTTAATCACCCTATTATGGTATTATGTTTACTGCGCTTCCTGCATTTGTTAAGCATTTTATTCGCTGCATGGGGAAAATGACTCGAGGCCCATAAAGGCAGAAAATTAGATACACTAATTTTCAAAGCTCTGGAATTTGGTTTATTTGATTATGTACGCTAAGGCTATAAGGTATTTCTCTCGCCTTCTTAGCGAGCCTTCGTAGTATAGTGGTCTGCAAGCTCAGCGCGTAATTGAGAGGTCCGCGGTTCGATTTCCGCCGAAGGCGGTTGCTAAATTTTCATCTCTCTTGCTTCCAAAACATCCTAATGTCTCTACTAGGTCATCTGCCTAACGAAAGGGATGCTTTCTAAGAGAAACTGGCTCGTATCCAGGTTACATATTAGGGTAAACCACAAAAGCGCCCATGCAGCCAGCCCAAAACTGAAACTGAGCCCATTCGAACTACCAGTGTTCAGAAACTTTACCGCTCGGCCACTGGTGCCCTGAAACTTTAAAAGCATTTTAATAACTCAGTATATGTCTCCCCTTCTAAATTTTGCTTTCGGATGCAGCCGCAGTAGTTGCATTGACATTGGTACTGCCCCTATTCTGGTGATTGATCAAACGTGTTTCCCATTGTAATACCTGTCATCCTAAAGACTAGTCACGGTTTGATGCTATTGACGATACCATGTTTCTGATAATCCATCCTCGAGCCTTCCATTTATATTCGTATGCGAATAAAATCATTCAGATATTACTTACAGATGATCATTTCATCGTCTACAGCACACGAAGAAAACCTCCTAAACATTTCTAATAATGAAGAAATCATGTGTTATCTGAAAGCGTGTGAGCGTGATGTTCTCATGTCATGCAAGCTATACTTCATACTGTATTATTATGAATGTGCTGTTTTTTTCCTTTCCTGCAATTCCTATATTGTTTTTCCCCAATGTTATCATAATTGAAGGCGATGCGTTGTGCTTCCACTTATGCTACGTGCAATTTGTTCAAAACGTAAGCAATTTTTTTGTATCATCTATTTTGGTTATATTTTTGTTAGAGAAAAGGAAATCCTTTCTCTAAGTTATTAAGTGCCCTTTTTGTTTATAATGTTATTGCCAAACAAAAGTGCATGCTTAATAACCTTTTCCACTTTTAAAGCTAATAATCATTAAATACTCAGAACTTTATTGCCATACTAATTTTATTGAACTATTTTAACATCGTAATTGTTTATTTATTTGAATTCTTGGTTTTAAATTCTTTGAGAACATCAAACTGATTCTCATTTACGCTTTCTTATAGGCTCTTCAGTTGAGATATTTTCCATTGTACGGCAACGCATGCCAAACAATTTACTCTAGAAATATCTGAAAGCCAATTTGATACTTCCAGAGAGAAAAATTATTTCGTCATCACCTCATTTCAATTGTAGTAAAATTCTTCTAAACTAGAGAAGAGAGTTCAATACTGTATTTAATACATTAAAAACACTAATAAAAACAACTGTTTAATGTTCAACTGTTTGTTTAATTATCTGCTTTGTTATATAATATAAAACAATCACTCACCACGGACCACTTTTGGGTTATCATGTCAAGGCAAAACTTATACTCCATTAAAAACGCAAAGACTGCAATAAACAGCTTCAATTCATATTCTTTGGTTCCACTCTAATAGCTGATTGGTTGGCTAAAAGACTTACAGTCTGCAATATTTTACGGAAGAAATTAAAAAGATCATGCATTCTATTTTCAGTGATCAAACCGGTAAAAAAGTGTTTGAGACACTTGTTCGTTCAAAACGGACGGATGTAGGACAACGCTCTTTAGATTAGTTATTTCAGTCAAAAAAGAAAACAGAAAGGCACTCTTTAATTTTTTTATTGTATGTATTTGTTATAAGACCTCTGTTTTAAGAGATAAGGATAGCTTATTTAATTCAACGGCGACCAACAGGCAGAGTTGGCGCAAATAACGTTTGTAGAAAATTATTTGACGCATATTGTCCTACAATAGATATGATCCCTTACTTCTTACCTTGTGATTACTAACTATCAATATCTTAATCAGTAATGATTGTCACTTAAAATTTGGCAAAAGGATAATTTTAGGGCAGTGTACATTTTAAATAGATCTTAAAGGTTTGAGTTATATTCAAAGCATTTGGCAAGCTAAGTTGCTTTTTCGCCTAATTAAATATTTTACATTGAACGTGTTTCTTTGCTAATTAGAATGATTGTCATACTTTTAGCCGCATTATGACTGTGCAGACACATCAGGTAGTTTTGGAAAGCAGGAGAGTTGAAAAATGAGCAATGCCCTAGCCGGAACTCGAATCACGGACCTCTCGAATTCGCGTGGCATGCTAAGAAGGCACGAAGGCATGCTAAGAAGGTGGGAGAAATACCTTATAACTTAATAATAATACTCACCTCCTTTTGCCACTTTGCTAATGTCAATCCCCATCTCTGTGGACATATTTCCAAGTACAGCGAAGATAACCACTCCTGCCATTACGCTAGTCGCAAAATCCAAACTGCTAATGAACACAGCGTCCCTAAATAAATAATACATGAATAATAATTAGGTACTACTTGACGTGCTTCTAAAACAATAAATATACTTATAAGTTTTGTTTTTAGAAACCTATTTCGCTCTTTCCATTTTTTTTTAATGAAGGTCCACCGCGAAGTTACGAAGTGGCCACGAAATTAAGAAGCTTGCAGTCTTAAGTTCTCGGTTACTGGTGTGTAGCAAGTGAACTACTGTCACAAATGGGCCGCACCAGTTGTCATAAGATTGCCACAACTGGGCCACGGAAATGTCCACCAGTGACCACGAGTGGGCCACTGGTGGGAATTTGAGGTTTGATTCGGGTGCGAATCCAAGGGAAGGAGCTGACTGTACAGATGCTATCACAATTTTCTCCATATCAGCGTGAATAAAAGCCAGTTTCCTTTAGAAATCCTCCGCAGACGAATTTCTTTCTTTAAGCAGAGAGCTTCATTTACTTAGATGAATTAAAATTAGTAATATCCGTTTCTTCTTCGTTCAGTTTCTTTCTCAGGGTCGGAGAAACATTTTTAAGATTAAAGCTGACAAAGAAGAAAAGTAACTTCAGTTCAGCTAACAGCGAGAGCAGTGAAATTACATAATCTTTACTGCTTCAGGGCATAGAAAATACGTAGCATTTATGAACACAAAGTTATCGAAAAAGATATCAGAATCACGTTTCATACAATATTGCAACAATATCAAATCTATGTTGCTGCAATCAATGTTGTTACTTTAAAGTAGATAATTCTTCAAAGCCGTTGTCATACCCCCCCCCATTCGCGATCGTTACTTGTGTCTCATCACCGCACAGCATTCATTTTTTCCACCCCATTTGAGACTGTAATTCAAGTCAACTTTCATTCGCGTACTTTTCATGAAGCAAAATATGCTAAACGCGAATGAAGTAAGGGAAAACAATTAAGTAGGTTCTGCAGCTGTTGTTTCTGCAACTGACCTTTTTTCTGCAATTAGTTGTTCATGCACCTTATGTGCAGAGTTTTATAAAATCTTTATATGTATTTCATTTATATTTATATTTATTTACATTTCTGTTTTATGCCTCATGTTTCTGTTAGAATAAATTAGTGTCTCTTTAGCTGGAAACTTTTGCTTTGAAACTGGAAATATATATACTGGTGAGAGAAGATTGATCCTATGCCTTGTACGCTTGAGTCAAAGTCTCAGGCAATTTCTTTTCAGTCATTTCACCTTCCATCTCGGGAAGTACTCCTGCAATTATCGCTTAAGATGTAGGCCATAAGATATTTAAGACTGATAAAATTAGTCTACGCAGTTTTTTTAAACATGCATGTGACGATTGTTAACTTAATTTTTGTTCCACTTAAGTTAAGTAAAATTCTCTTACTTGTTAAATAAAGATTTCATAGTTGTTATTATTTATGCATCTTGTTGAAACTGCGCTAGAGAGAGGATATCGTACGCAAAACGCCTTAGCTGTGTTAATGCACAACAAATAGTGATTATGAGATTGAAGAAGTTGGATAAGTTTGAGAAAACTGCCTTTTAAAAATGTTCCTAAAAATTGAAATGTTATAATATATTGAAATATTGTAATATTTCCTAAAAATTGAAATGCTGTAATATTTCAGGGCCATAAAGTAGTAAAACTTCTATTGCTGAAAATTCTAGTTACAAAGTTTAAAAAATGACTCTAAAGAATAATAATGTCTGTTATAAAAGGATCAATTTACATAGAAAAGTTAATAGAGGAAATTTATTCAGTTTGGAAATTTAAAATAGAACAGCTTCTAAGAAAGGAAGGTTTAGATACCGTTGTGTTCGGAAAAATATATAGTGATACTTGGTTAAAAAGAGACAGAAAAAGCTAAAGCTTTGATATACCTAAACATTTCGAATTTGCAAATTATCCACGTTTTACACAGTAGCTCTGTTAAAGAAGTATCTAAGCACCAATTTCACTGCGCTTTTTATCAGATTCATACAGCTTGTTATTGGCATTCAATTTGCTTATGTTCGTGGAGACTGGGGAAATTTTGGAAATGATAGGCCTGATGTTCTAGAATAGATAACCATAAAACTTCACAATGATTTAAATCCCCGTCTTCTTGTTTCTAGAAATGGTGCTATCTGTACTTGGAACAGAGAATATATCTGATCTCACGAAAAGCAACAACGGACCAAAATTTTCCTTCCCTACAGTTTTTCACAGAATAAAAGTCGATCAATTTTAACAGATTTTAAAATAACTCAACCTTTGACTGGACATGACAAATTTTAGAGCTATAAGTGCTTTTTGCAACTGCCGTAGCGGTGATAAATTTGTTAATCACATTCTTCTTCTGGAATGCATTCATGATGCCCAGACGAAGAAGATGCTTCAGGCAACTTTGAAGTACCTGTCTGTATCTTGGCCATCAAACGTTTATGAACTTTTTCAGACTAAAAAGACAATTTCCGCTTTTTAGAATTTCATTCTCAATTTAGGTTATTGAGTTCTCTTTATTTTATTACTTTTTAAATTTTATTTTTTCTTATTTAGATTTAATATCACTGTTTTCCTCCATTTGAAGTGCTATTGTGCATTTGTTTATATATTTTGTTAGTGCTATAACTTACTTTTTTCGGTCGAGAAATTAAAATTAGAGTTAATGATAATAACCTCCGCCCAAAAAGGAAGAAATTTTGAAACTGAATTGTCGCTAGAATTTGTTAAAATGAAATTAGTAGATGAGTATTGTACAGGTTTGGAAACTAAGCAAGTTTATAAATACGCTTCAATTGCTGTAAAAGGTAAAAGTAAAGATAAATCAAAGTATAATGTTACGGGATATTGTCTCTATTGTAAGAGAAATAACCATGCCAGAAGTGACTGTTTTCATTTAAAACACAACGCTTGGACTTCCCCGAAAACAGATCTAAATAACAGCAAAGTGAGAAAATATTCTGAAATGTATAAAATTAATGCATGTGAAATAGCAAATTCGCAAAGTGTAGGAATCATAAAAACAAAACAAGTTAAAGAAAATAAATATCCCAAGAAAAGTGCTGAAACTGAGGAGTCGTAAATTCAGTTTAATTAAGTTCCGAAAGTCGAATATGAACGTAAATCAGAAACAAAAGAATGGGTTATCGACTCAAGACCCTCAACATGACAAGTAATACGAACGTTTTCTCTCAGTTAAATGTTCCTAAATTAAATTTCTTATGATGCTGGTGAAGGTTATTTCAAAATTAAAAATTTAAATGGTCAGATTATACAACAAAGGCAAAGTATAGAGGATTTATACAAGTGGAAGCAAAATAATAATAAGTGGAACTGTCAAATTTTACGAAAAAGCGCTTGCATCTGATGAACATGTAGAAAATATTGTACTGAAGATTCAAGATTAATTCATTTCGGTATCTTGCAGTGTTATAAGAAAATAATGAAAAACATCTCTTGGCGATGATTTTACAGAAAATTCAGAAGGATCTGGAGAATTAATTAAATGTAAAAAAGAAAACATAAAAAGAAGGGTTTCTAATAGATCAACAAAAGTTGTTCTACCGGACAGATTCTCCTAATTAAGCAGAAGACGAAGGATCTACATAATATCGAAATAGAGATCCAGAAAGCTTTGAAAAACATTCTAAGCTTACCGAAATGAGAACAAGAAGCTTAGATAAAGACTATCGAAGAAGATATAAACTCTCTAAAAGAGAAAGCTATCTATCAGTTTGCAGATTTACCACCAAGAAAATATGCTACAGGCAACAAATGGGCATTTAAAACCAAATACGATGAAGTTGGAAAGAAAATAGAATACAAACCATTATTAGTTGCTAAAGCATTTACTCAGAAATGCGGCAAGGATCATGATAAAACATTTTACGAGCAGTGAAAAACACCACAATTAGAGTTTGGTTGGCACGGGTTTGCGTATAATAAGGGAAACGTTCATCAAATATAAGTTAAAAAGCATTTCTGCATGACAAGCTAAGTAACAAAATATACATGCAACAACCAGGAGGATTTGTAGTTGCAGAAATAAAGTTTATAAATTAAAAGAGAAGTTTTATGGTCTCAAACAAGCAGCTAGATGCAAAAATGCACAAACTGAAAATACACTAAAAAATATAAGGTTCAATCAAAGCAAAGCAGATTCATATCTTTTCATAAAAGGAAATCGTGATAAAAATTAATATACATGATATTCTAATAATATCTAAATAAGGAGTAATTCTTTATGTAATTTAAGATTGAACGAAATGCTATCAAATGACACATTATCAGCTAAATATTTTTTAGGTGTGGAAATAAATCGAAAGGAAGATAGATGTTATCGCTTATTTCAGAAATTAAAGTAAACGAACTTGTCAAATAGTTTCAACTTGAAGAAGCAAAACCTACAAATACATCAATGTAAAGAAACGTTGTGGTCTAAACAAGGAAGAAAATCTATGTTCAACTGCAAAGTTCGACAAGCTATCGGAAGTCTTCTGTGTACATCATTTATCACAAGACTAGATATCACACCTTCAACTCGCATACTTAGAAGAATATGCAATAAACCACGTCAAAAGGGCTGAAATGCTGTGAAAAGAATCATCAGATATTTAAATACGACAAAGTATCTATCCCTACATATTCGTTTAAGTGAAAAACTTATCTTGCAGTTTATTTAGATGCTAAGTGGGAACAGGATATTGTAGACAGAAAATCCATATCAAGAAGTGTACTTTTATTAAGCAGCAACTGCACTTCGTGGTTTTGAAGAAATCAAAAGTGCGTTTGTCCGCAGAAGCTGAATATATTTCATTTTCGGAAACTAAGCCTGTAAAGTTGGATAAAGTATAACAATTAAAGAAGATGAATAAGAAAAGGCTCACTTTCTCCAATGTTCTATCATTATAAGGAAGGAGGAAGCTTAAAAGGATTACAAAGAATAATAAACTTGTACAGTTATGTTTTCGGAGACAGGAAAGGTAAGAAATCCATTGTCCTCCGATTTTCCTATTACTAATCAGACGTGTTACTACTCGTATTTACAGCACGAAATCACGCACGGGAAAAGACGATGCTTCCTTATATATTGAACAAAATAAAACGATTCACCGAAAATATTCAGTATTTAAAACCGTATTGACAACAAAAAGTACGCAAAAATGTAACGACTTATATCTACTAAAAATCTTTATCTGGAATACATATGCATTCCAAAGCTTTTTAAAAATATTCAGAACGCAGAGTAATTGCTGGTAGACAATTAAAGGAGAGCTATTCAAAACCCTCAACAAAACTTTCTGTATGATGGCGCATCATCAAAATTGTACTTTGAAGAGGTGTTATGCTTTTTCAAAATAGTAATGTAGAACTAAATCAAGAGCGTAAGCAAGATGTAATGAAATGAAACATGTGTTTAGTTGAAAAGCTGTAAAAATGACAGCTTATTGATAAGACAATAAGAAGCATATGATATACCAGAACTTCACGATATAGCTGAACATGAATTGTCTCGGGATGCTGCTGATCCAGTGCGGCATATGGTCTTGATACTACCTTTCCGTAAACAAGGTAAAGCTATTACTTTTGATGCTTAAGTAAGGAAAGAACTTCTTTGTGGCAAGTCATTGCCCACATCTAGTATTTTGCCCTTGTTTCGAAAGGTACTCGACATTTGTATGCTTTGATCTGGAATTAGCTGGTCTTCTTATGAAGTTTTACAGAGCTTATCAAATACCTTCAGAACTCGAACTTGTTCTTAGTTATTTTAACTATGTAATGTGCTTGTATTAATGAGCACGTGAAGAGGCAGAGATCTGATGTGCTTTCTCCTAAATGCAGGTTTCTCAGGAAGATATATTTTTCTGTCATTCTTTAGATAAAGAACAGCCGTATCCAGATATAAATTTATTTAAATGAGGCTAGCAAGGAACCTTTTTCCCTCTATTACTTTAGAAAATTCCTAACTTCTTGAAGTGCAGAATTAAACTCCTTCTGCTAAATTCAGTTTAGTTTCTTGATTGCCTCCTTTTTTAAGTATGATGTTGGCATTTTATGTTCATAATGACAGCTTTGTGACATCGTAAAAAAGAAACCAGATCGTCATTAAAAACCTTTGTGTGTATCATAAAGAACATACCAGACACGCTATTCCTGACAATATGGCCTCACGATGTATTTTTTAACACCCGCATTTCAGGGCATCCAAAGAAGCAGCGATGCATAAAATGCACTTTATCCACTTTGCACGAATTTCTTAGAGTTCAGTTCCTTTCCTTTATAGAAGACAATGAGCATTGTTTTGATTACAAATGTTCAAATTTTTTAGCTTGTTTTGCTTCGAGGGATTTGTTGATTTTATTTCAAACTTTTGCTTTTTTTTCATTCAGAAGTCATGCCAAAATATTTATGTCTGTAAGTATGATCATTGCCTGTGGCGATGATCTTGAGAAAAATTGGGTTTATTTCATGACAGCAATCTTGCTATTTGAGGAGAATATAGCACCTACTGAGATTTATCCATTAACTGTGTAAAATGACTACTCAGAGAAATAAATTGAGAACAAATATTCACAAAATAATTCACTTTTACTTCAAATTAGTAAGTAATTGATTAAATTCCAAATTATCGCAATTTTATGACATCTATAATTAATTATAACGATTTTCTGGGAACTACTGCAGATAATTTAACTTTCATTAAGAAATCTCTTGAATACGTCCAATTTTCCCTGAAACTAAAAAATAAGCTAAAGTAGGAAAAACGTAGTAAAGTAGAAAAAGAACTATCTCTTAATTTACTAGGTAAAATCACCTAAAATCATAAAAAATCTCTTATATTGAGCAGCAAGAAAACAATTTTGGTGAAGCAGAATCTTTTATTGGGATAAAAAGCATGACGAAATGAAATTAATGATGAAACATTTGCCTGAAATCTCAATTTCATGGCCTGAAATTCAGGCTTCTGGCAAAAATTTAATGAAACTGTCGCAAATACAATCATGGATCAACTTTTTGATTTAGCAGCGACTGTAAACTTTTTTTCTTCGGCTATTCATGAAATATAGAAAAATAAAAAGTTGTGTAAAAAAGGATACAACTTTTCAGCAATTTCACAGAAAAAGCATTTCATTTCCCAGTCCTTCTCAGACAACACAATATATTTCCAGCTTACCAAGAACATCGGAACCAATCTAAAGAGTATTCTCAACAATGAATAGCAATGTAGTTTGAAGAAAGATGTAGAATAGCTGAATTAACCGCAAAAGCTTTACAGAGCTCTAAAATTAATAGTTAACTAAATTCCAGTGAATTTTTGAATGCCATTAAAAATAATCAAGAGTTCTTAAAGAAAGTTCACTCTAGCGATAAATGCTAATCACTTCTTAATAATAAGATATGTTCAGTAATGTTATTCACTCAAACATTACTGAACATATAGCTGTTGTTTTCTGCTAAAAACTCACTGTTGTTTTCTGCTAAAATTTTTCTTTATTTTGATTTATCTTTTATAGGTTCTTATCCCGGTAGGTTTTATTTTTTATTTCCTACTGTGAGTATTTTCTACAAATTATTCCGGCGCGTGCAAAAAATATTATGGTAAGCCATCCTGTTCCAATGACAGCATACTGTTTTTCAGTCCGATTAGCTTAGCCTCACAAATCATTTATTTTCAACAGAAACGCAAAAGAATGATGCAGTGTCTTGTATGCTGCTTACCTGACAACTCCATAGTAGGTGAAGTTATGCCCTCAGAAGCATCGAGGTATATGATATTTGTTCATGTTAAGACGGCACTTAACTGATTCGCATGATTTATAGCAGTGACCAGTGGTTTTCAATCATTGTGCCGTTTTCAATAAAGCTGAAAGTCACTACAATTTAGTATAAACACTAGTTGCGTTAGAGGAATTATAATTGCTAATTTTAAACTACTCTTTTACTAAATAACTAAAATTAAGAAATGTTTTTACCTATAAAGTCTATTGTCAAATTTGTTGTAGCTTGCATACATTATCAGGCATCCCCATCCTAGGCTCAGAGAAAAAAGAAGTTGTTCAGCAGCCGCTCTCCACACCTAAAATGGGAAATTGATGTGAAACAAACTAATTCACTTTTCCTTTCTTTAAACTCACATATTGTTTCCATTTGTATTTCATTTGGTTTCAACAATATGTATGTATATATAGAGAGACAAAAAGTAAGAAATTTAGAACTAGTTTTACACAAAGTCCCAAAAGAAGTCAAATTCAATACTAATACATTCAAAATATCCCTATATCAAAATAATATTAAAACAATATATATCTATAGATATTAAACTGATATTATTTTACCTCTATTAGTTTGAAATTATTTACATAGATCAGATTATTTTAGGTAAGAAAAAGAATTTTAGAACTCTTATACGGATTATTTTAAGTTAAAAAATACGTAAAATTATCGTATTACTATCGTATTACAACAATTGTAATACGATAGTAATAACAAAAATTGTATAATTACTGTATATCTTGAGTGTTAATACTGATTATTTTAGGCAAGAAAAAAGAACTTTAGAATAAACATACTTAAGGGAACGCAAAAGATTTTTTATGTAAAATAAAAGTTTCATGTCGAAGATTTTAAGAACATAATGCATATTTTAAATTATGCAAACATTATTCCTTATATTATAGTGCTTTTAATAAAGCAATTTAATTAATTATTTTCTGAAATTTATTATTTAATATTCTGTTTCCTAAATACTCCTAAATCGAGATTTTCACAAAACTAGAATCACAAAAAAAAAAAAAAAAAAAAAAAAAAAAAAAACTTGCCTGGCCAACCTTCAGTTTAGCAAGTTTATGGGAGACATGCCAGAGTGAAGGTGACAGCACAGGAGGTATTTAAGAAAAATCATACAACGAACAATTTTTCAATTCAACAATTCAAGGCTTCTTGTCGGTCTAAAGGCTTGCTTCAACGTCCTGCATCGCTTTAGTTTGAAGCAAGGACACGTCACAAGAAGGCAAGAAGAACCTTTTTATTTTAACTCTTGAATGAATAGAAGGCGCTGCTTTCGCGAAAGACAAGCCTCTGCTATTAAAGGGTATTTAAAAAACATAAATTAAATTCAAATGTACAAAACGTGTTCTAAGACTACACATAAAACAGACAGCTTAAGCTGGCTCAGGCAAATAAACGTCGGAAAACGAGCTGCTAAGGCCGGGATAACTTGATGCTAAGATGCTAAGGCCGGGCAGAGCTGGCGATAGTATGTAACTGCAGCGTGAGGCTGCCAGAAGCTCTAATCCTAAAACATTCACACTCGCGTCTTAAATACATCTTCCGAGTTTTCGTTCTCCTACAATTACGTCAGTCCTGGAAATTAATAGCCGGACCTTGCATTTTAGCCACGTTTAGTTTTTAAGACCCTCATTTTTCAAAGAAATTTTCCAGATTTCTGTAGGGTATAAAAGAAAATTGTTTGAAAAGAAATTTCTATGTTATTTTTTTGGTTTTATACTAATCTCCTTATTCTATATTAGTTTTAAATTTTTACCTTGAAATCTTGCCTAAAATCAAACGGCGAACCCTAGGTGTGCACAGAGCGGGCTCACCGATAATCTAGGACAACTGAGAGTATGTATTCTTTGTTTTTCCGCATCTCATCGGTCATTTTATTGAAAACAATGCTCGTTTTAGCACTCTTTTCGAAGCTCTATTCAATCAGTGTGCCCACTTCGGGCACACCCACAGAATTAAGCGATTCACAAAATTTTACTTGTGTACTCCTCTATGCCTAATTAGACTGCCTACCGCTTTTTTGATCAAAACTCCAACTTTAAAAGGCAGCGTGCCGGAAAGGGTTAATGGCTCGTTTAGAAATATCTTGTCCCTTCGCCAGCAACGATATTTTTTAAGAACTGTAGATCTCTGCATACTCTATTCTTGTCTCTTCAAGACAGTCTGTCTTCGTAATTTCTTATCGAGGTGACAAATATAGAAGAAATTTGGACAAAACTTTCGTTTCTGCGGATCCTTTCTAAAAACATTATTGATTCATACTTAACGCTTGTTTCATAAACATCCTCGATAAATTTGTTGCCACTTATCGAAAGGACAGCAAAATTTACAGATTTCTTTACCTCATTTCGTCATTATAAGTCCAGCACAGGCTTCGAGGAACAGACACTGCATAGTCGTCCGTGTGAATTAATAGCAAGTTACTATCAGGTTGCTTGAACAACTAAAAAAAGTACTTTAATGGGCCATAGTATTATCATTATAAACTTATTTCAACTTGTCTTAAGTTTCTAAAGCAGATTGTCTTAGTTCATTGAAAAATTCATTATTCACTTACTGCTGACCTTTACTTTTTGCATCACCACATTGAACAGTGATTTTTCTAATGCAAGCTATTAAATGAAAACTGCATCATTTAAAAATTATTACATCCAAAAGAAAATCTGAAGTTTTCACATTAATAGCTTATTTATATGATGTAATTTGGTTATGATGAAGGATAGGAGTCACGAAAATTAAAAATTACCTGTGTACGTGTATAGTCATAATTTCAAGTAGTATTTCTCTAATTAAAGAAGAACTCTTAAAGAACAAATGTGCAATTTATTTATTTCTAAAAGTTAAGTTAATAAAGGGGGCATAAATTAATACATTCGGAATAGTAAGTAACAGAAAAATTCTCCGATTAGTAAGTACAAGAAAATTCCTTTCATCATTATATACAATGTTTTTTTTTTTTTTTTTTTTTTTTTTTTTTCAGTTTTAAAATGTCAAAAGTATTTCATTTAATAAAATCAGAACGTTTCTACAATAATGTATCAACTAAACCTGCTTTAACTTGCCTCAATTTCTAGAAGCCTACTCCATTCAGGTATGAAGAAGTACTTCAAACCAGTGGACGCTCCAGGTAAAGTGCATCCATAGATGACCAAAGTGATGAGAATCACATAAGGAAATGTTGCTGTGAAGTATACTATCTGAAAGGAAATATAACGGGATTTAGCTTCAATTTCATGACTGTGCGCCACAGAAGACTCACAAAAATCTAATATACTTGGTGCATTTACTCAAGCTACTATTAATTAAGGACTACAATTAATTAAGAACGTGGATATGAAGAATGAAAAGTTACAAAGAAGTGAATGGTATAGTTTATCAGCTCAAAGGGGTATAGTCTCGAAATTGCCTTTTGCGTCTTTCACTATAAATGTCGGTTTTACGTTTTAGATTGTTGCCACCGAATATTAAGGCCCTGTATTATATTTTAAAAAAATAATTAATAAAAAATATGCATTACTGTATGTATATTTCTCGCACTGTGAAAACACAGCTTTAACTAGAGTCATCAAATTCTGAATAACGTGGTCCTTCAGCCAAAAATGTGCACCTGGAAGCCGGAATTTTGAATTTCGAATGTTATATCTCATATTTTGTAAAACTGTAATGAATTTTTATTAACAAACTCAACGATCTGAAAGCGAGTAGGGATAATACTGTGCGTAATAAAATGTTTTTATCTCCATCAAGCGAGACTGTCTATCGGATATTAATAAAGATAAGCTGTTTTTTAAATATTTTCTGATTTTTCTCGTGAATTGAGTTGCATGTGACGTAATTGCCAAACACCTGGCCAATAAATTTAGCACACAATAACGCCAATAAATTTAACATACAAAATGTTAATAATAAAAATACAAAAAAAAGGTTTTGCAAGCCATCTTACTATGAAAACTGAACATTGGTAAGATGAACTGAGAAAAGACTGAAAAAAATAGAAAAACGTGTGCTAACACTGAAAACTGCATCCGAAATTCTAAACATATGCTGCTATACTGTTTTTCAAATTTTTGTAATTTCGCTGTTGAATTGTATATGGCGTAAGGGCGAAGAAAATGAGGCTTAATAATAAAGCTAAAAAGACAAAAAGAAATGGGTTAGCAGGAGTGAGTGCAACAGCAAATTGGTAGGCTGCGAGTTCAGCGAAAGAGTAGAAAAACTTTAACAAAACCTTTTGGGCGACCGTCAAAATCTGAGATCTTTCATTTTCTTTAAATTTGTTTTTTATTTTTTAATTTTACTTTCTTTTATATATTTATTTTTAATTTATTACATTAAATTAGTTTTTTTTTCGAACTCTAGACTCTGCAAAATTTTAAGTAAAATTTCTACAATACTGATCTTTTAAAACGTAATCGGTAGCGTTAAACGGAAAGCCAAACTTATGGTTTTGTTAGGCTCAGGGTCATGCAAATGTAACGGGATAACACTTTAGGCAGGTATAAAATTTAAAGACCTCTTTGTGTAACTTAAATTTAGCATAGTAATTTTTTGTATTTTATTATATTGATTCATTGATATCTCACCTTGCCAGATGACTTGATTCCTTTCATGAGTCCGAAGAAAACGATGATCCAACAAACAAGCAAAGTTAGAGTCAGATCCCATTTGGGTATTCCGAGTTCTTCGATCCCAGATGTCAACTGCAATACATATCGCCTGAAGAAAATGTAGCATGGATTTGAAACATATAATCAAATTTTAATTATGAGTCTGAGTCGAAGTATTTTAAGGTATCAATCGATTTGAAAGTACCATTACAAAGAGTATACCTGCAAAAAAATTAACCCATGGAGAAAACCTTATATTCATGTACTGTTCAATAGGTATTTCCGAATAAAGTTATATGTTTCAAACTACGCAAATTGCGATTCAAATATTCATCAATTCTATAGCTAGAACCATCTTCCCATAAATTTAAAAGAGCTGCAAAGAACTGTAAAAAGATTCTTTTTAAAAAACCATAATATTAAGTTGCCAAAACATAGTAGTATTAAGCATAGTGTGTACTGTACGTATGATTACAGCACTGCTTAATGGTAGAGATTTTATCAAATAATCTCCGCTTTTTGCAGCATTCTACATTTTCATAGAATCTCATATTACTTACAGAAAAAAAGGTTTCAAACGAGGGTGATTACTATGTGAAGGCTGATCGACAAACAAAAGACAATACTCAGAGTAACAAAGTATTGTTTAATTAAAATCGCCATAGTTAATATGTTCCCTTCCAAAACATTTTTTCCATATGAAATACATTCGTTCAAGCGCTTTCACTCATTTTAGAGTAAGTAAACTGCTGACTATCTAAAATGCAACATCATTAAGGAAGCATCCAAACAGCATGAAACTTGTATCATGTGTATACCACAATGAAATATACAAATGATTACGATTTCAGGACACGCGCAAGTCATGAGCGACTGCAGCGCTCCTTACAATCCCCATATAAAGACAGGATAATTGTTCTTTCAGGAGATTTTTTTATATGTGCAGTTTCAGTATGCCTCGTAGTCATGAGCATCAATCGAACACTTTTCTGAGTTCGATCGAGGCAGAATCGTTGCATACAGAGATGAGATTGCGGATTCTCCTTCTGGAAATTGATCATCGTGTTGGACGTAGCCAAGCAACAGTCATGCGAATGTGGAATCAGTGGATACAGAACGGAACGACTGATGGACAGGAGCAATTGCAACCGCGGCGTCGCGCCACTCCACAGGAAGACAGGATATTGCGCTCATGGCACTGATGGAGCGCACTGCCACATCTGAAACCAAATCACAACGAATGCAGTATGTAACACAAAACTAGGTGTCCGGAAAAGCAATTCTACGTCGTTTACAGTACGATGGACTGTCCGCTAGGTTTCCATTATTTCTCTTACCTTTAAAGACGTATGCATTTCCGATGGAGCACTGTACGGTTGAGATTGGCATCTAAATAGCACCACACTTGTGTTTTCGGACGAATCACGCTTCTGCCTGCAGTACCACATGGTCAGAATAGAGTTTGTAGACACGGTGAAGAAGACTACTTGACTGTTATGTTATTCATTGTCATATTGGTTCTGCATCCGGTGTTATAGTGTGGTGCGGTTTAGTTTAGTTTAGTTTACGAGTATGCCGCAACCCTCCTGGCCGATAATAATCGGCCTTATTGTTTACGCAGCACTTTCGACGCAAACAAACAAAAATGAAACAATTAAAAAAGATAAAACAAACGATTAAAATACAGATTAAACAGATTAACACAGATTGTGCATCTTTAAAAATACACTCACACAATACAAAATAAGGAAAATCATAAGGATAATCGGTTAGGAAACAAAAAATAGTAAGACGACACATAAACTCATAAACAAAAGAAAAACTAAAATATTTAATGTCCTAATTCTTATGATAGTCTTGTTTTCATTCACAATCCTCATAATTTCTGTTGCATGGCTATTCAAGAGTTTTCTTTTTTCAATTACATTCTGTTCATTTACTTTTCCAAATCTCGTCCTCATACTCTCGGTCAGTTTATATTCTTCCATAAAATGAGCTGCATTTCCGTACTTCCCTCAAGCCAAGCATTGATCATTGCCCTGGAGATTAAAACGTTTGATCCGTGATAACTTGAATAGCATCTATATTATTAAATAGATCCATTTTTCTTTTTATGGTCAAAATCCTCAAGTAACCCTTATTTTTATTTGAACCATTCCATTTCCTGAGCCATTCTTAGCCCACCATATTGTATTATTATCTGTTCTTTAGTTCTATCGCCCATCGAATATGTCTGGTCAATGTTTGGAGAATGCCTAGCCTAGCATGCCACATCCGCAGGTACAGCGGATGAACTTTGGATAAATGTGGATACAGAATGGACTATCATTCCCCAACAACCTGTGTAAAGCCTCTTTCACTCGATGCCGCGGTGCGTAGCAGCGTTTATTGACAATCATGGGAGGCAGCAATGATATTGATTTTCTCGTCTTCCTCAACTCAAAGAAGGCTGTATTTCAAACCAGTTAGCATTGATACTATATGTAATCTCTGAAATAAATACAGCTTTGATATTTCTTGCCCTTCTTTGTGTTGCATTTTGGATGTCCAGCAGTATACATAATACTGTTATTCGAAAGGATTTTCTTAACTTTATTCACATCATTAGAATCGTTTGCTACTTCTGTATTGTTACTATACAATTTATTAAAGATTGCTTCTTTAAAAAAAACTACTATTTAGAAACGCGGAATACTAGGTCTACACGCTGTTCGATCTAACTACTAAATGAATGCATTACAGATAAATAAATTAATCCGTCTTGCTTTAAAACATACCTGCTATACAAAAACATAAATTCTTAATATATGCATTCGAAAATTTATTGGCGTAAGATTCTGTAGAGACATTAGGTTATTTTGAAGCAAGAGAGATTAAAAAGGAGCAACGTCTTCGCCGGAAATCGAACCATGGATCTCTGGAATATGCACCCAGCGTGCTGACCACTACACTACGAAGGCATGCTAAGAAGGTGGAAGAAATACCTTATATACTGCCCCTTTTAAAGGGCAACTGGTGTTTTAAGGGACCCAATTGCCAACTTCTGTGTGCAAAGAATCATCATCCACCACTCTTTCAGTTGGGGCACGACTGTAGAGACATTAGGTTATTTTGAAGCAAGAGAGGTAAAAAAGGAGCAACGCCTTTGCCGGAAATCGAACCATGGACCTCTGGAATATGCACCAGTGCTGACCACTACACTTCGAAAGCATGCTAAGAAGGCGGGAGAAATACCTTATCATTTTATTTAAAAAAGATTCAGATGTGGAACTAACAATATACTAAAGTTTATACTAACAATATACTATTACATGACTTCTTCAGCCATTTCGATCTTTTTGTTTCGTTTTACATTCACTATCGAACAGATTCACTCACTTAATATCTCATATTTATTTCTGCTTTAATTTAAAGTTCACTTTTTGATTTGGTTCATTTCTCATTAAATAGCAGTGAATAAGCAATTCAAAATTTTGAATTAAATCTCTAAGTTATAGAATAAAATTATCAATTTATCCCTGAATTATTATTTAATTACAGCACTGACAGCAATCGTAATGTAAATGTACTGGATGAGGAAGATAAAATTTTAGCAGCTTGACGCAAAATGTTCTAAGGTATTTTTTTTTTCACTTTTTATCGCGTGCCTATGTGGTGCAACTGTAAAGCAAGTCCATCTAGCAATCCGAAGTTCGAGTCCCAGCAAGGCCGTCGCTGATTATACATGTTTCTCGACATTAAAATAATTCAACATAAATTATAAAAATGTGGCGTCCGAACTAAAAGGTAACGGGCGATAATTTGTTAACATCAGGATTTGGTGTATAAGTATCTTTCTCCCCATTCGGCCTTTAAATGGGGTAGAATGTAAGTATTTTCTCCCTCTTTATCGCGTGCCTTCATGGAGTAACTGGAAAGCAAATCCCGCTGGCAATTGGAAGGTCCTGAGATTGAGGGCACTGCACATTTCACACCCCCTACTTCAAAGTTAAACACCTAATAGTCTTTACCTAACAACACGTCCTTTTTTTATAATATTCGTCTCTTGACACAATTTAGGAGAAGAGAGACTTCACACGAGCATCATGTTGTCCCTTTTATGGTATGTAGAAATCGAAATGATTTGTAGAACTTTTATTATATTACAAGAATAAAAGCATACCACTTACTCCCAAAACTGCTCTGATGCTGTCTGTGTGCCATTTCTGCAAGTGCTGAAAGCTTTGTTGTAGTCTTCTAGAGGTACGATTATGACGTTTGCCTCCCATGTAAAGTTTGCGTTGACTGATTCATCAAAGTCTTCAGTGCTATTGTCTAAAGTTGAGTATTTTGTCGCCAAATACTTTGTCACTTCCCAGCATGGAGTCTAAAGTAGAGGAAAATATTACTTTAGCTTAAAAAAATGGCACACATGCTCAAACATATAGGTTGTCAAATTTTGAAATGTGCAAATTTTGTCTGAAACATGGAAAATTAAATATTTTCGATAAGTATTCAAAAACAACTTGTAGCGTTCAATCTATTGCAGTCTTTACATAGAGGGCAATTGCAGTCTTTACGTAGAGGGCAATTGCAGTCTTTACGTAGAGGGCAATTACAAACAAACGATAATGGCTGAACTCTTCTTGGTAGTTATACCATGTTTGAATAGAGTAACTTAACAGAATCTGTAGGTTGAAGGTCATTGGTCATTTAGAAAAGAGCTAAACGCAACCTGTTTCAACAAAAGCCTTTGGACTCTCCCAAGGTTTCATTTGAAAACTATAGTATGGATTTTTAGAAAACGAAAATTTCAAGTGAAGACCAGGAGAAGGTTGTAGTCATGGTACAGCATAAATTTAGAACTTTTATCTAGCACTAACGGACAGAAGAAACCACAGCAGGAAAGTCACTTTTTGCAGCAGCGCTTTTTGATATCTACTAGCACCAGTTTTCGAAGTCAAACCTACTAGGAAGTGAGTACATAGTGATGGTTTCTATATTTACAGATTTATGTTTTATGTTTCTTTAACAACAGATCATCTTGGTTCCCGCAGAAAGGGGAGATAAAAGCATCTCAAATGGAAACAGAATAAATAGAGTAATGTTCTTTTCTCATACAAGTTCTTCATACAGAGTTTTTCTCATACTGTTGAGATATCTCTAATCGCATTCTTACTGGTTAAAAGGAAGTATAGCTTTCTGTCACGTCTGATACGTTCGTTAGCTTTCGGTCAGGTCCGAATTATTCTGAAACTTAATCCCATTATTTATGTTATTTTTGATTGCTTATTTATTGTGCCTTGTTTATGATTTGTTAAACCATGATCTGTTGTAAAGTTATATATATATGACCTCTGTAACCGCTTATCTCCCCCTTCTACGGAACCTTCTATCAAACTAACCACGCCGCACGAAGTGCAGAACATTATTAAGAGACTTAAATTAAAGAAAGTTCCAGGAAAGGACAAGATCACGAACCAGATGCTGAAAAACATCCTTTAAGACCGTATGCAAATTAACAGGCATTCTCAATGCATGTTTGTATCAAAATTATTCCCGCTTTTTTTGGATGCAGCAAGCATCCTGATGATTCCTAAGCCAGGGAAAAACACAGATTACTCGGCAAACTTTAGACCCATCAGCCTGCTGTCCTCCATAAGCAAGATCCTGGAACGTATTATTTATCTCAAAATGCAAGAAAACTTGGACTTTCTCGTTGATCACCAGCGCGATTTCCGGAAAGGACTTTCGACCACAACGCAGTTAGTAAAGCTCACGGAGTTCATTGGCGCGGCTATGCACAACAGAATGAGTGTTGCTATCCTGATGCTAAACGTGGCAAAGGCTTTTGACCACGTCTGGCATCCAGGGCTAATCTATAAGCTAATTCATCTCGGTTTCCCCAGAAATCTGATACTCATTATCAAATCCTTCCTTGAAAATAGAACTTGCACCGTTAGAGTTGGAAATGCAACTTCATGTGTCAAAAATATTTACGCAGGTATTCCTCAAGGGTCAATTTAGGCCCGCTTTTTACATCATCTATACCAACGATTTCCCCATGCTTTTCCGAGGATACAAATGTTCTCGCAGCCAGCTACGCTGATGATCAGCGATATCCACCCAAGTCTCTAAACCCAGAGTATGCCTTCTCAAAATTTCAGTTCAGGCCAAATCCCTGCTATTGAGGGGTGGTGCAGTCGCTGGAAAACTGTCCATTCAGCCAGAAAAGTCCAGATTCTACTCATTCGAAATCGCAGACAAGGAACGGGTCAGAATTGAGGTTTAAACTTTTTGGCGAAATCATACCTACAGTTGATAAAGCTAATTACCTGGGAGTTCCCTTAACAAGAACTACAATTGGAGGGATCTATGCTTAGAGAAGCGAAAAAGCACACCGGGATCATTTTCAGGCTTTTCCCCTCCTAAAGAATGAAAACCTCACCCCCAGACTGAAAAAGAGGATTTATGAAACTGTAATCCGACCCATTCTCACGTATCTTCCCCAGCCTGGGCAAACTACAAAGCAAACGAAATTAGAATTCCAAGGCTTCAAATAAGGTGCTAAGATCATCACAAAATCTCCTTACTATGTTCGGAATAAGACCCTCCACTACGACTTGAAAATAGATACTATTCAGGACTACCTCAGCAGAATAAACAACAAATTTTTTAATAATATTATCAATGTGGATCCCGCTAATTTCATGGACATTCTATCTACGAATCCTGGCTGAAGACAAAAACCCCGCCCATCTCTGAGTTCAGAATTCTAAGTTCCAGTTTTGGGTTTTCAGCAGCATCAATCGGGGTAAGTTTTCTGGAAGGGTGACCTCCCACGTGATGGCCCCGACGAATGAACAGTTTGTATTCGGGCTATCCTACACAGGTCATCCGAAGTTTCTTTCTCCGGTCCCTGCTTGGCGGATTCCATCCAAGATGTAGCAGTACAGAAGCAAAGTGCTTCTTTTTCTCTTTCTCTCTCTGCAGTACCTCCACGAGAGAAAATTTCTTTCAGGTTTCTACTCTGTCAGGCCCCACATAGGATCACATCAGGAACTGGCAAGAGCAGGATTTTAATTTCCTGCTGAAAGCCAGTATAACCGCAAAGTTCCAAAGTTCCGCTTATCTCTGCTTACTTATCTCTGCTTGTTTGTATTTCTTTGCATGTAACTCTGCGTGTATCTCTGGATGTCTCAGTAATAAATAGTTGTTTTGCGAACCACGCCATTTTCTATGTTTAACACATACAAAACTTCAGTATACAAATGGGAAATAGGCAATATATCATCTTGTATTAGAACAGGCGAAAAGAAAAAAATGTGTATGGCATGAAGGCAATGAGCTGATAAATGTTTATTAATGCTTAACGGTGTTTTTTACTCAAACATTGTGTACAGTGAAGGTTTTGATTAATTTCATGAGTTGAATTAATTTGAATAACTTTGCTGCTGATTGTTGCGGAAAGTTTGATTTATGTTGTAAAAATAAACAATAAAATAATTTATCGACCTTCTTTTCATCTTTATTGCATTCTACTTATTTAATTTAATCTTAACTCCCAGTTTCAAATTTTAAGCGCAATTTTAAAGTTATTCTTTCTTTTTTAATTCTCCCATTCTCGTTCCCATGTAATTCATACTATAGCGACTTTCACGCGTTCGCTCATTCGATTCTTTAAAGAATGGGAACTTACTAGTTTTCAAAGAAGAGGTCCTCGAAATAATTCTGCTTATGAGAACGAAAGTATCGATTTGGAAAAGGCGGAGTGGTGATCTGAACAGGTATTAATTATCGTGCCAACCAGTACGTCATCAGAAATGGATCTGTGACGGCGCAGTGGTGATGAGATCCTCAAATATTTTTGGGGCCCTTACATTGGAACATTCGGGATTAAATTCATTCTCACAGATCTTAATGCCAGACCACCTTATGTTTGGCTAGTGGAAGACTTCCTTTTCATCCCAAGAATCCTTCGAATGGATTGGCCAGCATAAAACCAAATCATTACATATATTTAGGATATTCTTAGTTGCTGGTCCCTTATCACGCCCAAGCACAGCTCAGTAGCTAGAAAATGTTCTCTGAGAGTGAGAGAGAACATCCCTGTCCTTCTTTGATAACTTCAAAGGTGTGCATAACTTCCATACTTCACAGGTGTGCATTGCTTTCATTTACAATAATCTCTTATTAAAATCCCATCCCTTATTAAAACGTATTTTTATTTTAGAAATTAACACTTTTTATTCGTTTTTATGACATATACAAAATGTCATTTTGTTACTTTATATTACACAAAATGATGCTTATGTTTCCCGGAGAAAACGAAAATGAAATTTAATTTTTCATTGCCCTGTGTGCAATTTGTTTTCTCATTGTAACACATAAAGATTGTATATAAGCTAACAAAGGTTTCCTCATCTTCACGTTTTTATCCAAAATTGTAATATCCCTTAACAGAACAGAGCGCTGTATTCCGTGTACATGCATTACATAATTGCAAACTTAAATCACTTCTAGAAAGGATTGGATTGGATTATTTAATTTAATTATGGCAAAGCACACGAGGGCTATCTGCCTAAAAGGGAGGGATGCTTTCGTGGAGGACTTTTCAAGGGAAACTGGCTCGTATACACGTTACACATGGGGAAACCACGAAAACGCCCATGCAGTCAGCCCGTTTGCGGGGATTCGAAACTCGGACCGAACTACCAGTGTTCAGCGTCTTTACCGCTCGGCCGCCACTTCTACAAAGGAATTTCCTTTTAATTTTGTAGCAGCTGTTTCACTTTCTTTATGCAGTCTGTCAGTTATTTTTAACGAGTACTAACTTCAAAAATCAAACAGTTATCGTAATTGAATTTTCATTTACTTTGTAACAAGTGTTTCACTCTCGGAAAATATATGGATTACTTTATTCAGTCATAAATTATTTTTAAAGAGAACATTTATAATCCACTTCGAAAAGTGTGTGGTGGTAAACTTAATAACTAAACGTTACAGAAGCAAAGTCATTATGAAAGCCTTTGCAGTTTGTGAATTCCATCGCATTAAAAAAGCATAAAATTGTAATTAAAATAAACTATGAATATAATCCAGAACCATAGCAACAGCATATCGCTAATGCTAGCGGTCGATTAAATTATAGCAGGAGACCACGTGTGTTACTATTTTGCCTATTACAACGTATATTCGAATATTTCCACCTAAGATACAATAAATTTGGAAATAATGATATTTTATATTTTAGTTAATTATCGTTTTGCAATTATTTGCTAAATTTTCGTTAAAATTTTCTTTTCGGGAAATCAAATATTTAGTAAAAAAATGTTTGTCTTTTAATGATATCTATTTTGATGTCAGGAACCAAAAGCAGAAAGCAAG